GCATGTGGAGCTCATTTCAGTATACCTTTTTTGAAAATCACTGTTTTCTTCTTCCTAAAGCATATCTTGTATTTTGCTTAGAAAACTTTGCTGCACATGAAGTTCCTTGGTAGCTACTTGAAAGAAGAGTTTCACCCTGGACCTTAGCTTCCAGCAGTATCCTGTTATTCTAGAACTGGTCTGAGGGCAGTGTCCATATACATACAGTGACCTCTGAGCAAGCTACAGTAATATTTGACATCTGAGTTGAAGATAAAACCAGCTATCAGCACCTAAGTGATCAGTTGGTGTAGAGTATTGCTAGTGGTTATCTAAGTCCATCTACCTTTCTTGAGAATCATGGTGGTTCGTGTGTGTGTGTGTGTGTGTGTGTGTGTGTGTGTGTGTGTGTGTGTATCTGTATAGGTGTTTGCATGTGTGCAGATAACTGACACCAGAGGTCTAGCTCAAGGTCTAGATCAAGTGTGTTCTTCTGCCTCTCTCCACTTTAGTTTTTTGAGGCAGGGTCTCTCACTGAACCTGAAGCTCATCAGTTAAGTCTGAATGGCTGGCCAATGAGTCTTCAGTATCTGCCTGTGCTCTTGGCACAGAAATTACAGGCTTATGCCACCACACACAACTTTTTTTTCCTTTTGGGTTTTCGAGACAGGGCTTCTCCGTATAGCTTTGATGACTCTCCTGGAATTTGCTCTGTAGACCAGGCTGGCCTTGAACTCAGAGATCCACCTGCCTCTGCCTCCTGAGTGCTTTGACTAAAGGCTTGGGAGCACCACCAACACACTGCTCACACACAACTTTTTCCATGGTGCTGGGAACCAAACTCGGGCCTTCCTGCTTGTGACAGGAACTATTTTACCCACTAAGCCATCTCCTGTCCTGGGAATTATGGTGACTTCTGAAGCTCAATGTGTAGAAGAAATGTTCTTTTAGGTTATCAATGTGTTCTGTGCTTCTATGACACTGTGGAATTTGTGCAGAGAATACATTTATTTCCTAACAGTGTGAAGGCTGCAAGTCTGAGACCAAGGCTTCAGGCCAAGGTCTAGTAAGGGTCCTCTTGCTATGTCTTCACATGGCTGGAGTTAGAGAGCATGTCGGGTAAACGCTGGTCAGAGCCTCTATTAGAAAGCCTTGACACCATTGGTGAGACAGGGGCCCATGGTTTAATTTATCATTACACGCTCCACCTGTGTGTGTGTGTGCGTGCGTGTGTGTGTGTGTGTGCGTGTGTCTGTGTGTGCGTGTGTCTGTGTCTGTGTGTGTGTGTCTGTGTGTGTGTGTGTCTGTGTGTGTGTCTGTGTCTGTGTGTGTGTGTGTCTGTGTGTGTGTGTCTGTGTGTGCATGTGTGTCTGTATCTGTGTGTGTCTGTGTGTGTGCGTGTCTGTGTCTGTGTGTGTGTGTGTCTGTGTGTGTGTCTGTGTGTGCATGTGTGTCTGTATCTGTGTGTGTCTGTGTGTGTCTGTGTGTGTGCGTGTCTGTGTCTGTATCTGTGTGTGTGTCTGTGGGTCTGTATGTGTGCGTGTGTGTGCGTGTGCATCTATGTGTGTGTGTGTGTGTGTGTGTTCAGGGAATGAACCCAAGGCCTCCCATATGCTGGGCATGTGAGTTTCATCCATTGTCTTCATTCTTTGAAACACTTTTCTCCTACTGCCCATATCTTTAAGATTCGGCTCACCTATAACTTCCTCAGGTCTAGCAATGATTTAGCTCCCTTCAGGGCTCTTTACCCCACCCCTCACGTAGACCAGGCGCCGAGTATCACACAGCCCTCCTCATTGCCCTGCTCCTGTCGGTTTCTCCCTCTGGGTCTAACCGCTCATTTCTACATCTCTGCTGGGCGTTACTATACAGCCCTTGGGGTTCTATGTTTTATTCGTTGTTTAATATCCCGCATAAATCTTAATACTTGGTTGGAACTTAAATAATATGTATTCAATAATTTTGAAAACTAATACCAATAAACTAGCGAAAGTAGAAAAGAAACTTATGGGCCCAGCCTTTGCAACTGTGTTTAAAGCTGGATTGTAGAGCGGGGTTATTGTGAGAGATGATGTTGTATGGGCTTCAGAGGAAGTGATGCCCATTGCTCACCATCATTCCCTAGGAGCAGAAGGGCTCTCTAGATTCAGTGGCCTTCGTTTGTACCTTTTCTTGACAAGCTGTCTGGTAAACATAAACTGCTCTGCCGAGCAGGTAGAAGCGGTACAGTGTGTTCGTTATTTGAATATTGTTTGTATAGCATTTCTGGAATATTTGATTGCCCTGTCATTTCTTTTTAAACAAACTACCCCAACCTGTCTGCCAGGTGTGGGAATTCCTCAACTTCATAGGGATGTGAAAAACTGGGCAGTTTCAAATCAAGATTTCCATACTGGGCACTAGCCTTCCCATGAATCATCGAGTTGTTACTTAACGTCACAGAAGCATGGCTAGGCAGTAGAAGGGTGGAGACAGACTGGAAACCAAAAGATTTTAAGGAATTTGAGGAGTAGAATCTAAAAAAGGTGTTAGTAGGAGTGCGGTTTTTTTTTTTTTTGTTTTTGTTTGTTTGTTTATAAGTGTATTAAATGGACACATGAGAACCGAATCATATTTTTAAAGATTTTATAAATTTCCCTCAGTTTTAAAATGCTTTTCTTTGGCATAACCATAACTATTTACAAGGTGAAACAAATATGCCCTCTTTGTTTTCAGTGGGTGCAGATGAAGTACATGTCAAGTGTCAAGTAACCCGGATAGGCGCAGTCAAATGAAAGTGTCAAACGAGAGCGGTCTAGTCTTTTTACCCTGAGCACTGTCCTCTGTGTAGTATTCTTCATTTTTAAAGTGTTTTAAGATCCAACTAAAGTTCTCTTCAGAAATTTGTTTTCACTTTCTCAAATGAAGCTTTAGACATGTGTTTCTCATAATTCACTGAAAATATGCTGAATTGTATATTTTTAAAGAGAATCTGTTTTGAGAAAAATCCAAAATATTTGTTTGAACAGGCACTCAACATCTCGATGAAAACGGTTGGAAAAGAAAAACTTTCAGAGTCATTCTGTTCTCAGAGTACCCGAGCCAACTACACTGGTACAGTTAACGCTTCAGTCAGGCCGGGAGCCAAGAAATCTAGCACTTTCCAGACAGCTTTTCAGCAGACCTTCAAACCAACCCAGAGGTTGATATAGATACCATTGGATTTCAGAGTAAAAAGCTACAAGAACATCCGTACCTCTTTCTACCAATATTAGACCTTTTTAGTAGCCTAAGTATCTGCCTTAAGTTAGCATCCTTGAATTTTATTAGCATTGATCCTGCATCAATGTCCTGTAGAGTGTGGACTTCCCAGTGTAGCATCTCTGCGTGCATGCGTGTGCGTGCGTGCGTGCGTGCGTGCGTGCGTGCGTGCGTGCGTGTGTGTGTGTGTGTGTGTGTGTGTGTGTGTGTGTATGCGTGCATGCGACTCCACCTTTTCTTTGGAGAAAGGGTTTCTCGTTGAACCTGGAGCTCATCCTCTGCTTAGATTGGCCAGCCAGTGAGCTCCAGGGATTTACCTGTTTCTGCCTCCTCCCCAGGACCAGGATTAAAGACATGGCCTCTGTGCTTGTCTGTGTATGCTGGAGATCTAAATTCAGTTCCTCAGACGGTGTGGCAAGCACCTTACTAACTGACCATCACCCTAGCTCCAGACATCAATATTTTTACATTGCCTTTGAGTGCCACTGAGTGTCATTGTGGGAGTAGAAATAATATATCACATCCTAACTCTTTAGAGAGAGTGGTGGTTATACCAGGCGTAAGTAAAGTACTGATTGTTTAGCCTCCTACCCGTTTATTTTTATTATATCCCCTTAAAATTTATGGATAGCACTTAATGCATTTTCCAGTATGTTGATATAGAATATGTCATGTTGATCTCTCTGCCACGTATTTGCTTTTATATGCACTCTAGCTACTGTTCACTAAATTGACTCGTTGATACCTTTATTTGGATGTTGTCATGGAGAATAAATAACAAGTGGCTCAAAGGTTCCGAGTGTCAGAAAGAAAAGACTAAACCCAACACCTACCATATCACAGCGTTTGTTAGAAAAATAGCAGCAATCAAAGTTTCGTTCACTTGGATTTTCAGTTGCACCCACAATGTTAGATCACCAGTCTCCCAAGTCAGTCACCAACCTCAGCATGTCACAAGCTCCTCTCAGGACTGGGAGTACAAAAGAGCTCTGTGAGAGCAGGACTGTCTCTCGGGGTTCGGTCGCCATTACCGTCATTATCCTTCCCGGTATATATGTGAAAGAGTGGCAGCCACAGTTTGGGACATGGTCTGAGACTTGGCAGAGGAATGCAATGCTCCGTGCAATGCTACCTTGTCTTTCCATTTGGACTGTTTATTGGTGAAAACTTAGAAGGCAAGTAAGGGACTTGGAGAAAGACAGACACTAAGGGGCTGACCGGAGACGCTGGTTGAAAGGCGGAGCCTCGGGTCATCAGCACATAGTCTGGGAGGAAAGCTCGCACATAGCAGGTGGTAGAGTATGTTAGCAAGGTCCATGGGAAGCAAGTGAGGCACAGTCTCCGTAGTGCCACGATGCTCCATTTGACTCACTGTGGACAGCCACACAGAGCAAGAGCTTGACTAGGACACCAACCAAGAAGCAGGAATTTTGTTTGTCAAAGGAAGTAACTTTGGCTTATAGAAGGAGGAGTAGAGGCTCTTCAGTAAAAGGACATTTTTGTTATAATTTCTCTGTTATGGCGCCAGAAGTATTTTAAAAGACTAATCAAAGCTGTTTCTGTCTAAGCCACACTGTTGGAGACCAACAGCTGATACATTCTGTTTTTCTTTGCTGTGTTTCCCATTAATGATTTCTTAAGCTTATTCCACTCTCTCTCTCATCTGTTCCTAAACCCCTTAAGATTCAAGTGTGTTTAAAGTTAAAGCATTATGAGACAAAAGCTGTATTCTGTGGGTAGGATAATACTTCTTTTGTGACATTTTCTTTTCCCACCAAAAGTGAGAAGTGAATGCCTTGCCTTTGTGCATCCCATTTCAAATGGAGGACAAGAAGTTATTCTCTGCAATGGCTGACTTCCAGAATTTTTGCCTGAACGTTTTTTGTCAAGTATATATTCCCTTCTTTAGGCCTTTCTATATAGAGCCTACAAACATCGTCAATGTGAATGATGTCATTCAGAGGGTTAGTGACCATGCCTCTGCTATGAACAAGCGGATTCATTACTACAGCCGGCTCACCACCTCTGCAGACAAGGCACTGGTAAGAGGCAAAGCTCCGCGGCTTGTGTAAAGTTGAGTTAAAATGAACAGTAAACACCAAAAACCAGGGCAACTCCCAGGGGTTGAACTTTTCAATGGGAATATTCCAAAGATAGCATCGTACAAAGTCAAAGTAGTAGCTAATACATGTTTCAGGCATGTTCGTTCTTATCTACCCTGGCTTAGACCGTCTTGACACTCCGTGTTGACAATAGCTTGAAGCACTCTTCTGTGTTCTCAATTTTTGCTTATCTCCGATAACAAGAGCTCTGAGGAAGACAAATTTCTTTTGAAACAACAGCTTAGATCATTGACTTACAACATAAGATTCTGGCTAGTCTGTATAATGTCTATGTTTGAAGCTACAAAGGAAAACATTTACATACATTTTCTTTAGGAATAAGAAACAAATATGCTCATACATATACCTGATTTTCCTGTTTAACATTTCCCTTTATAAATAATAAAAAAAAAATAGCCTGTGCAGACCATAGGCTATTACAGTTAATTGTTTTGTCTTATAAACACACACACACACACACACAAAATGGAAAGGGCTGCAAATACAAATAAAAGCCATAGCTTATGGATTCATGATTGCCTGAAGTATGTCTTTATTATTTTAGAATGTAAAAATGTGTAAGTAATCTGTTCCTTATAACGTGATCAGATGTGAGATACTCAGAAATTTGAAAGCTTAAAAAAAAAAAAAAGTCAATCTTAGTAGCAAAACTGACCTCTTACCTTGTCTACCAAGGGCAAGGGGTGAGTACCGCCTGACCATGGCCGTCTGATTTAACCCCATAATGGCTGTGTGAAGTAAGCACTAAAGTCTTGCCTTTGTTTGACTAGTGTCTCGTGAAATCCAGGCTGATCTCTAACCCTTTGTGTCTGAGGAGCTCCCTGCCTTCTCTCCTGGTTTCCAGACATGATACATACCTGGCTCTAAAACCTCAAGAGAAGACTTCTAAAATGTTATGTGCAGAATAACTTTTTACAATTGTTATTTTTTATTCCCTCCTTTCCTGCCCAGGACTTCACAGTAGTGTTGACTGTGACGTCCATTGTAGAATTATCTAACTCTCTCGGAGATTGGAGGTTGTTGTCTGACAGACTCTCCAAATGCTATACTCTTTAGAAACATACCTCAGAGATACCATCTGGAGCAGAATGAATAACCCTTGCCTGGACACTAAGTCAACACTGCACTGAGTTGTAACCCTTTGTTAGCTGACGTTAGTACATCTAAATGGTCACCAAACTTAATGTGATGGATCCATTTCTAATGCATTTTATAAATATCCCAAAGTCATTTTCCCTAAAAGTATGTTTTGGAGAAGAACAATCAATCATTGTCACCAAATGTTCATGGAGTAAAACCTTTTAATTTATTAAAAAAAAAAAAAAAACCACACATCTCATTCTTGTTATTCGAAGCTGGGGAGGGGAGAGTATCGTACTCGTTACAGGAGAGAGTTGTCTGTCTGCATCTCCTAGATCCTTGCTAATAAACATGTGTACCTACAGAGCAGCATTATCAGCATCGCTGAGAGCTTAGTAAAAAGGCATTGTGTGGGGCTTAGTCAGAACCAGCGAAGCATAGTCCCCATGTCAGCAAGATCCTTGTGTGTCATGGGGACATTCAGATGGAAATGCCACCCCAGACCACTGCCTCAGTGAGAGCCACATCCTCCCATGCACAATCGAGGCCCAGAGACTGGGCACAGGGCACAGGGCACAGGGCACAGGGCACAGGGCACAGGGCTAGGTGAGGTGTACATGGAGGAGGCTCATTCTTCCTCTGTGTGTACATCAGTGTGAGAACACAGCCAGAACTTTCTACCTCTCGAACATGCTCCTTGTAAGTTTTGATTGTACTTGTCTTTACCCCCAATTTGCTTTGTCGGCGATCATGGTTTCCTTCTTGATGTCTTATACTTTTTTTTTTTTTCCCCTCTTACTCTTGGCAGAAGACAAGATAATCTAGATTTTAGAGGAGTATAGGAGAAGAGAAGGAATATATATATATATATATATATATATATATATATATATATATATATTTGTCTGTGTCTCTGGGAACTAGTTTCTTCTGAAGCTACACACCACACAGAGCATTCAGGGTATTCTTTTCTACAAAGGCACTGCTAATCTCACTGCTTACATGCGAAGGCTGTGGCATGGTTGTACCGATGTCTATGCCCTTTCTTCCTAATAAGGCCGATACTCCAGCTCTTCCATGCGATAATCCAGCTCTTCCTTGCGATACTCCAGCTCTTCCTTGCGATACTCCAGCTCTTCCTTGCAATACTCCAGCTCTTCCTTGCAATACTCCAGCTCTTCCTTGCGATACTCCAGCTCTTCCTTGCGATACTCCAGCTCTTCCTTGCGATACTCCAGCTCTTCCTTGGGATACTCCAGCTCTTCCTTGCGATACTCCAGCTCTTCCTTGCAATACTCCAGCTCTTCCTTGCAATACTCCAGCTCTTCCTTGCAATACTCCAGCTCTTCCTTGAAGTCTCCCCTGGCTGTTTTACTTCCCCTGTTTATCCAGGGACGTAGAAAAGTACAGAGTTGAACACTGAATCTTATCATGCCTTCTAGTCTTGTCTAATTGTTTCACATGTCTGACTGGAATTTGAGACAGTTTGAGGCTGTTAGTTTACTCAAATAAGAAACCTAGCACAAAGTTGCAAATTTATATGTAGGTGATAGATGTTAAAAGAGTCACACTATAGTTCATACTCATCAGACTCCATGCCTTTAAGGCCCTCCTCTTCTCCAAGAACAGCCTTCAGGAGATGGACAGTTTAATCAGGGAAACAGATGGGGTTTCCCCTCCAAAATAGGAAGGTGGAGTTAAAGAAACATAGGAGGTAATATAAGAAATAAGTGTAGAAGTTACACTCTTCATCTCCTTTACGACATCCGATACTTCTCTGTTGCCTCCTTCCCTTTTGCTTATATTCTTAAATGCCCTGGCTCCTAAAATCCTTGTTTCAACACTCACTAAGTTACTTTGTGACCTGTTTCTTTTACTGAAAACAGTTAAAATTAGTCTATACTGTTTATTTACTTACTATTCATTGGCCCCTCAATAAACCTCCTTCACACAGAGTTAAGTAACACCACTAAGTTCCTGGAAAGCTCCTCACGGAAGCATGGCCTCCTCTGTGGGAGTTTTTGTTTTATTCTTTGCTTCCCTCTTTCTCTCAAGTGTGAATGATGGTTAGAGAGGAACCCTTGCCCCTTTATATCCACCACTATATTAAAAATAACTTAATTCTTTAACTGGGGATTCATAGGTTCATGACACTTATAAATATACGTAGAAGTGTCTTAAGGTATGCATGCTGGAGGATGTCTATAATCCCATGTCGCAAAGACGGGAAGATCACACACTTGAGACCGGGAAGAACGAAGGCCCAGATGAGCACTAGCCAAGCGTCTCCCTGGAGCCTGCCCACGAGGAGCCCAGCAAGCAGCGCCCCCCCACACGCTTCATGACGTCAGCCTTAGAAATGTGTCTAGTCCGTTTCTCTTTGTTCACTTACTGGTTCTGACGTTTCTTCTTTTCCCCAAGATTGCTCCAGACCACGTAGTCCCAGCTCCAGAGGAATGCTATGTGTATAGTCCTCTAGGCTCTGCCTACAAACTCCAGAGTTACACTGAAGGCTACGGTAAAAACACCAGCTTAGTAACTATGTGAGTAAAACTACTTCTTGGAGTATGAATTAAGCTGTATATGAGTGAAGAAAGCTGGTTGCTTAGTTCTGTCTTAATTAAAATATTTGAGGAGCCCGACTTCATATTTTTACTGCTATTTACTCTTTCAGTTTTATGATTTGGAATACCATGATGGGAACATCTATACTAAGTATCCCTTGGGGCATAAAACAGGTAAGATAATTTTTTAGTACACTTTAATCTGACATTTTCTTAAGATTTATTCTTTTTTTTAGTTTTACTTGTGCAAATGTGCGAGTCTTAGTGTGGGTATGTGTCCATGGAGGTCAGAGGTTAGATTCCTCTAACAGTTGGAGTTGGTGGCGGTTGTGAGCCACCAACATGAACCAGACCCAGCGCTCCAAAGGCCTGATAGTCATTCTTAACTGCTAAACCATCTCTCTAACCCCTGAATTTTTTTTTCTATACCTATAATCCCAACACTCTGGCTAAGGCGAGAGGATCATGAGTTCAAGACCAGTTTGGGCTACATAGTAAACTTTAAGCCATCCTGGTTTTGTTCCATATGGCTCCAAAATAGATAAATAACTTAAATAATAACTGAATCTTTTTACTTTATACTTTAAGTTTGGGGCTTGGGAATAAAGTCCCAGTGATAGCATGCTTTCCTAGCTTACATGAGGTCCTGAGTCCAATCACTAGCCCTGTAAAAAAAGTTTTGTTATTTGCATAAAGTCCTCTTTAAAAAGCAGATGGCACTTACATTTTTCCACTGTCGTGTTTTTATTATAATTGTTTAGGGTAACAACGTAATTGCATAGGAAGTCTTTCTTACATAGTGAAAGGAACCCAACTTTTTATCTTTCAAAAGGCGGGGTTCACCACTGGGATGTGTGTCATCGTGCTCATGGGCCTTTTGACACTCTATTGCTGCTATCGAGTGGTGAAGTCACGGAGTAAGATATGTAAGTAGAACAACACTGTTGCACCGATTAACCAACTTCTGCTGTGCACTTCTGCTGTGCGTATTCTGTGTGTGTCGTATGAGAGCGTGTGTCACAGTGCACACTTAGAAGTTAAAGGCCAGCTTGAAGGGGCCCGTTTTCTTCCACCGTGAATTCTCTGGGATTGAACTCGGAGTGTTAGAGTTGGTGGTGGCTCCCCACCCTCCTGAGCCATCTCACTGGCCCCAACCGACGACTTTCACATAGCTCTCTGCTGGCTAGCCTATTACTGAGTTTCTGGCTCCCTCTGAAATTCAGAACTGGGAGTTCTTTGGGGACTATAAATACATTTACATTAATGCCTGATGTCCTTCTAGGAATAATAAAAGTGCCATTTATAGAAATGATGTACTTTATCACTGTGTGCATGAGTGAATATGGACTTCAGACGGCTGCTGGATGGAGGTGGTTTTCTCTCCTTCTACCATTGGCCCCGGAGACTAAACTCAGCTTCTCAAGTGTGGTGACAAGTGCCTCTCCCTCTCATTTTCCCAAAAATGTTATGCTTTTAAAGCAAAGCCTTTGTCAGAATTACTAAGAACTCTGTGGTTCTTACCAATTACTGTTTACTTGTTTTGACCTACACATAGCAGACCTAAAAGCATAAAGCAGCAACAGAAAACTATCCAAGTATATGCAGCTCTTGAAGCTGTGTAAACGCATCTCCTCTACACTCTCATTTGTATAAATTCTGGGTCAGGGACTCGGGAAGATAATCTCCTTGTTGTTTTTAGGTTTGAAATGGGGTCTTGTTGGATTGCTAGGGCTAGTTTCAGTCCTGGGTAGAAATGATGTCACCCAGCCCACACCTTTACTCTCCCACGCAGCTGGACCTGTGGGCGCTCTCACACGGAAGCATCTTCTTAAGTCATTTTCACACATTTTAAACTGAGTGTGGTGGTGCGTGCCTATAGTCTCAGAATCCCAAGGTTATCCTCAACTACATAAGGAGTTCTGGGCCAGCCTAGGCTACATGAGACTCTGACACAAAAAATAAAAATAAAAAAGGAAAACACATATAAGCACTTTGGGGGCTTGACAGACATGTATTTTTCACTCCGTCTTATTAGCATGTTCCAACCAACCTCAAGTTTGCAGCCTATTTCTTTAGTTAAACCTTGTCTTAGTCACTTGGGGAGCATTGTTTAAAATCTTGGGAGAAGTCTTATTTAAAAGCCATTGAAGTTCCCATTTGAGTTTGTTTAGCCTTTGGTTTCTGCGGGTTTGGCTCTGACTGAAATGGGAAGAGCTCTTTACACACACGCAGTAAGTGTGGAACTTACATCAGTTGTGTGCGTGGGAGCATGGCCTCCCCTACACTCGTTCTGACTGTTACAGGCGACGCCTGTGCTCCTTAAACGCTCCCATGTAACAGGGTGAACTTGCATCGCTTCATTTTACAAAGTCACCAGAACCCAAATCAAAGCCCGGCAACATAAAAAGAAAAACAAACAGTTATAAAACATTATTGGATAGAATCAGTGATGTACAAAAATAATATCCTGTGTTTAAAATAGGGTTTATTCCGATGAGGTGGGAGGGATGCTCTATTAACAAACCCAACACAACTCACTACATTAACAAAATAATCCATGGTTACATCAAGAGATACACCCCAAAAGGCATTTGATGGAGGCATCTCACAACATCAGCATCCTTTTCTTAGTGAGTTCTAAGGAAGATACTCCTTTAGCAAATTAAAGACTGTTTATCCCTAACCAGGACCAGCAGCGTTCTACGGTGTTAAAATCCTTAAAGCAGTTTCCATTTAAGTCGAGAGAACATGGGGTGCTCATCATTATTCATACGGGCTTTTGAGATATTATCGAATACTGCAAAAGAATTCTGGACTAATATGAAAACTGGAAAAGACAAGTAATTATAGCAAAGAATTTTATTAGAATGCTAACTGGTGCTGTGAGAATGAACGAGAGTCTGATAGTTGACTTCACCACAGCGCTGAGCCCTAGGGGTCGCACATAACATTCAGCAGGAGAATATTTGATGGGAGAAAAGCACAACTACCTAAATGTAAGAACTAAATCTGCACAAGTAGGAAAAACATGCTGTGTGGTTTGGAAGATTCACTATTGTAAACCATAAGAAAATCAAATGTATAAATTCAGTCCCATCTCAAACACAGTCAGAAAGTTAGAAATAAAAAAAGAAAGAAATGGAATGGAAGAATGACTTACCAGGTCTTAGAGCATACTATGTAGTCATTGTACTACGGCAGAGAGCTACCGTGTGAGAAACAGGAAGAAGGCAGAGCAAGGGCCAGAGAGATGGCTAAGTGGGTAAAAGTACTTGCTGCTCTCCCAGAGGACCAGGGTTGGTTTCCGGCACCTACTGGCATCTTACAACTGTCTGTAATTCTAGTTCTTGGGGATCAAATGCTCTCTTCAAGCCTTAGGTACCAGGTAGGCACATGTTAGACAGGCATGCAGGAAAAACTCCATACACATGAAATAAAAAAATGTTAATCTTTATATAAACTAGACTAGAAAGGGAAATGTAAATTTCAGGTGTATGAGTTTAATATGTCCTTTTCAGTGTGTGTGAAACTAAATACCAGCTGGGGGGAACCCTGTATGACATCTCACACAAAAATACATTCCAGACAGCATTCACACGAAATGTGAAAAATTAAAGGCATAAAGATAGTTAGAAGGAAATGTAGAAGGTTGTGCATATTGATCATTTCCATGATCGATATGGAAGATGTAAAAACTTTAAAGGGAATAGATCAGAAAGTTATGTAGCATTACCAGAAATCATCTCGGCAGGTGGTCTAGAGCACATTGTGCTGCAAGGTAGCATCCACACCCGAAGTAATCGATAGAGAAAACAAATTCAGATTTAATGATATAATTGCTAATCAAGGGTGGTTATCATCCTTCATGAAGAACTTTTCTGTGCTGTGTCTATATGTAAGCTTCTTCAAAGTCCATTCTTAGTTGGACATTTATAAACTAGAATAATTTTCATTTCTTTGTGGTTGTTCCTTTTAAGTCTAGCACCCCAATGGTTTGTTTTGTTTTGTTTTGCTTTACTAATTATCTTTCCTACTCTTAGTTATCACATGCTTTTTTTAGTTATAAAAAGTTATGATGCTATGTTTCTCAGATTATACTATTTCACCGATCACGTTTGTTTTGTTTTATTACATCCTACTTGCTAGTTTCCCCATAATGCATTCTTGTATTTGTTGGTAAAGTAGCCGTAATCTTTTGCTAAATGTTTTTAATTGGGGAATACAAGTTATAAATGTAGAGTATGTGACCAGTCTCATTCTCTATCTCTCATCTTTATCCAGGTTCATCAGACACAGCTACCTGGGAATACCCAGATGTCTGCAAGCATTATTTTGGCTCCTTTGGGCAGTGGTCAAGCCTTCTTTTCTCTTTGGTATCTCTCATTGGAGCAATGATAGTGTACTGGGTGCTTATGTCTAATTTTCTTTTCAATACTGGAGAGTTTATCTTTAGTAAGTATTAATAGAGTCTTTAACGAAATCACCTTCAAATATCATTGTAATATTTTAGTTCTAGCCTTACATTTTTATATGTAAAGTATCATATAATCCTGGGCAATATGCTTTGATTCAGCTTTTCTATGCTTATGATCTCAAATGACATTAAGTTTTTACATAAATAATTGTTTTATTCTGACTTTTTGTGATGTATTGCACTTATATTCACTTCCTGTTATGCTGTCCCCTTCCTCTTCCGGGCAGGCTCCCTTACTTTCAAGTCTTTGTTTCTGTCTCCCAGTGAGTTTCCTGAGGGTTGCTTCCACAAACGTGGGTGAAAGTTTGTTAACTGAAGCGCATGCACGTGTGCACCACTGATAGAGTCTCTCCCTCCCCATTAGTGGTCACCTGCATATATATTCTCATCTCATGAAGGGGTGGGCCCGAGAGCCAGCCCTCCTCCCGTGAAAGTGTATCCACCGGCCCAGTCTTATGACGCTATCACAACCGCTGTGAGTTCTAGACTAGAAAAACTTGTAGTTTGCAGAAGTCAGGGCGCCATCAGCATCTGACCCCCTCTGGCTCCTAAGGGTTTTTTTTTTTTGGTTCCTCTTCCAGAATGTTCCCTGAGCCATGGAGAGGGTGTTATGCTTGTCCTACTTATGACTGGGCATTCAACAGTCATTTATTCTCAGTGCTTTGGCTAGTTATGAGTCTCCACAGTTACCACTGACCACCACAAAATGAAGCATCTCTGGCCAAAGCTGACGGCGGTGCCATTTTACGGGCATTCACATAGTTTTATGTAGGAGGCAGTGTAACAGGGACATCATGTCCATTTAGCAAAACAGCAGCAGTAACTTCCCAGCGGGGTGTATGACCCCCCAATTGCACTCACTTTTAATAAGTGGTATTCCTCCTAAATTTCTAAGTACCATAAAGTATGTCTACAACATTTTAGTACTGAAAGAGAAAAGTCTATGTCATTCACTGGTGTTTGTTGCTGAAGACTTAGATGTTTCAACAGCAAATGGATTTTACTCACGGAAACGGTAGGAACTGAAATAGAATAATGAAATTTAAATGATGTATTATTTATGTACCACAGAACTGTTACCTGCTCCACTCAGCTCTAGAATTCTGAAGAGGGTGTTGACAACTCAATCCAAGTACTTTTATAATACTTTTAACTTGGATGCAGGATGTCCGTTTCAAGCTTTTTTTTTTTTAAACATTTATTTGTATTGTGTGTGGGGTGTGTGTGTGTATGTATGTGGAGGGGTGCACACATGCCAGGGCACATATGTGGAAGTGGGAAGTGGCATGAGAACTTGCAGGAGTGTGTTCTGTCCTTCCACCCCTGTGTTTCTGGGGTCATGTTCTGATTACATGCTAACCACACGTCCACCATCACTCTGTAGACATCTTAATAGAATGTATGCACTTTTATGTGGTGGTTCTCTCAGGATTTTGCTTTGTTTTTTTTTTTTTAAATCTTACTTTCAAATTAGTCATTTTTAGTTTTGTTTTGCACCAAGGTCCATAAGTGTTTTATATACATACATTTTAGAATCAACCAGCTTGACAAGTTCTACAAAATATAATTAGTTTTTGATTGACGTTGCATTGAATTTTTCAGTCAACATGCCATAATTATTATTAGGCTATTGATTTAGGATTAATAATAATTACAGTAGATTTATTGATGTGGAAAGAAATTGTGCTAGAATACTGAGTTTTCCTTTCCATGATCATTGCATAGTTTAAGTTTCTGTTTAATGACTCCTAAGTTTTTCTTGGTAAAAGTCTTACATCCTTTAGAAACACTTTTTGTTTGATACCTTAATTTGGTTTCATGAATGTAGTTTCAATTTATTATACAACACATACTTTTTGTTATTTAAAAATCAAGCGTTAAACAGAAAATTATGTGGAACCCACATGTTGGGCAGTGGTGGCACACACCTTAATCCCAGCACTGAGGAGTGGAGGGGGGCAGAGGTAGACAGATCGCTGTTTTAGACCAGCCTGGTGTGTTCCAGGTCAGCCAGGGCTGCCCAGTGAAACCCTGTCCCGAAAAACAAACAGACGGACGGACAGACAGACAGACCCACTGAGGAAAAGGGATCCACATGTCCCTCTCACTCAGCTCTAACAGCTGTCACTTTTGTTCTGTTCTAAGTAGTCTGCAATAGGGCTTTTAACCCCCTCACTTAAAAAGAGATTGCCCCTTGAGGACACTTTTTAAACATTTTATTCTTATTGGCTCTCCAATTAAATTGTAATATCAGATATTTTGTAAAATGTGTATTTATCTGTGCATTATGTTTTTAAAACAAATTTTGTCCTCCCCTCAGGAATGAATTTTTCCCCTTGGTAATATTATCACACCCATTGAGACACCATGAGCCTTGCTATGTGCCTCACTTCTCCAATTCAAATATTATTATAGCTATAAGGCATAAAGCATGGCCCTATCTCAAAACAAACAGACAAACAGGCCTGTCACACTGTCTACTTATCCTCATATTCACTATAGAATGGTGTGATCCTCATATTCTCTATAGAATGGTGTGATCCTCATATTCTCTATAGAATGGTGTAATCCTCTTATTCACTATAGAATGGTGTGATCCTCATATTCACTATAGAATGGTGTGATCCTCATATTCTCTATAGAATGGCGTGATCCTCATATTCTCTATAGAATGGCGTGATCCTCATATTCTCTATAGAATGGCGTGAATGGCGTGAATGTTCAGGACCTGCACACATGTGCGTTTGTCCTTTGTCCTCCCATCCAACTCAGCTGTTCTTACAAGCATGACAACTACTGTGCAGCCTCACTTTGTAAAAGTGTGTACTGTTCCTCACGAAAACGTTAAGGGATTTGCCACATAGGTTGGGCATGTATGGCTGTTGCTTTCCCTTTTGGCATACTTGAGAACTTTATATAAAATGTACCTGTGCTTCTAGAAATTAATGTTAAGTATATGAAAAATTGTATACGTTATCTTCTTTCCAGGCCTTTTGACTACCATTAATTCAGTCCTCCAGGTAGCTTTTTTATAACCTTGGCTTATATAAATTTTTCCCATATGGGCCTATGAAGTAAATGACATTATTATTCCTGTAGGCAAAGAAAACTAAAAGTGAAACTATGTAACTCAATAATATTATATACAGTGAATAACCATGTTTATAGACAAAAGACTTTAATGATGATGGGATTTGGCATGGTTCATTCATTGTTTAACTGTATGTTTGTCTTCAACTTATAGATTTTATTCATCACATTAATGACACAGACCCTATGCTAAGAACCAATGACAGCAACCCTGGTAAGTAGTAGTTTGGAACTGAGTTTGTTTCCTTGTCCCCAGCCCTGCTCCCAAAACGACTCAAAAAGAGCATGCATGACCCCCGTTTAGGTAAATAGTTAGGTAAAATAGTTGGGGAAATTGTTGTTGCATTACTGGGCTGCTGTGCAGCTATTGGCAGTGTGTTTCAGAATAGATGGATTTGTTAGAGCTAAGTGCTGAGTGTCATTTGGTGGCAGTGTGCGCACGGCATGTGGGAAGCATTGGGGCTGAGCGCAGGCATCACGAAAGAATAAAGATTAAAAAGCATGAAAATAAGCCTGGTGACCCGCCTCAGAGGGTGACAGGCTGGCGACCTGAGCTTGACCCTTCGGACCCACAGGGTTGAAGAAGGAACTGCTCCTTCAGGTTGTCCTGTGACCCCCACACACTGTGGTGTGTAAATGCACAACAAATAAGTCATAACTAATCAAGTGCCGAGAGAGAGGAAAGGGAAGCAAAGAGAAAGAGAAGACAAACATATTCTCCAGACTTCCCGGTTCTCAAGCTGTCATCTAGACTCTTAGGCTGCTGTAAGTGGGGTAAACTCCACAGTCTTGGATTGTTGAACTCTGAGTCTTTAGTTTTTACTAGTGTGGGGATCTCTGCTTTTAATTCCCTAACACATAGATTTGTTGTTGTTGTTGTTGTTTTTGTTGTTGAAAAAAAGAAAAAGGGGAGCCGGGCCCAGGTGTCGCACACCTCTAATCCCAGCACTCAGGCAGAGACAGGCAGATCTCTGAGTTTGAGGCCAGCCTGGTCTACAAAGCGAGTTCCAGGACAGCCTCCAGAGCAATACGGAGAAGCCCTGTCCCAGGAAAGGAAAGGAAAGGAAAGGAAAGGAAAGGAAAGGAAAGGAAAGGAAAGGAAAGGAAAGGAAAGGAAAGGAAAAAGGAAAGGGAAGGAAAGGAAAGGAAAGGAAAGAGGAAAGGGAAGGAAAGGAAAGGAAAGAGGAAAGGGAAGGAAAGGAAAGAGGAAAGGGAAGGGAAGGGAAGGAAAAAGGAAAGGAAAGGGAAGGAAAGGGAAGGAAAAAGGAAAGGAAAGGAAAGGGAAGGAAAGGGGAAAGGGAAGGAAAGGAAAGGGAAGGGAAGGGAAGGGAAGGGAAGGGAAGGAAAGGAAAAAAGAAGGAAGAAAAGGGGGATCAGTAAGATGGCTCAATGAGTAAAGCGTTTTCCCCCTGAGCCTGATGACCTGAGTTCAGTCCCAGGACCTACAAGGTAGAAGGAGAGACTGGACTCCGCCAAGCTGTCCTCTGGGCTCTGCACGTGTGCTGTGATGATCATGCATACACACAAATAACGAATCTAATCAAGTTTCTGAGAGAAAAAGCCTCTTACTGGGCCCTTGAATGCCAACAGGTACCCTGCATGTTACATCCCATATTACTGAGACACCACAAGCTCTGCATTTTCTGTCCAGCAATGGGGCAGAGGGGGCATTTTATGGAATCTTTCTCTTGTTCCTAACACAAGTGCATGCCACCTCTAAACTATTTTAAGATTCCCTTACCTTTGACTGTTCATATTTGGAGGAAAGATTCCTAAATTGTCTATATAACCCTCTTCCAGAAGTTCATGCTACCAGCTGAGCAGGGCCCGGCCCTGGGCAGACCGTTTCTCCAGCTTGTGTGGTCTAACCTCTGGCGTGTGTTTACTTTTGCAGTGATTTGTCCAAGCGCTGGGAGTGGTGGCTGTCCTTCCAACAGCTCCACGATTTCCTACAATGACACAGAGGTCCAGCGGTTTGAAGTGTGGTGGAATAAGTCCAGGACGGTGCCCTTCTACCTCATAGGGCTCCTCTTGCCACTGCTCAACTTCAAGTCTCCCTCCTTCTTTTCCAAGTTTAACATCCTAGGTAAGGCCCTGCCCTGGGGACTTCGGAGTGTGAGTGGGAGGGAGCTGCCTTCCCGGCTGCTCATATCTACTTACTTCATTCATTCACACAGTACTTTAATTTTGCTACCCTTTGCTTTTCTATACAGTTTGACACAGAAAAATGGGTACAACCATTTTAGGTGCCTTTTACCCTTTGGGAGTTGGTTTTCTTGGAATTACTAGGTTTCCCATTCTAACCTTGTGCAAATCATTTCCTGTCAGAGTATGGCTAGAGGAAATAGACTAAGGCCTGAGGACCAGACATCAAAATGGCTACTATAGGAACCCTCAGTTTTAAAGGGTGAAAGCACTGACAGTTGCTACAGAGTTTTCTGGGTTGTTTGTTTGTTTGTTTGTTTGTTTGTTTGTTTTGTTTTGTTTTCCTGTATTCGGTTTAAGAGTATTATGTAGCCAAGTGTGGTGATGAATGCCAGTAATCCTAGCACTTGGAAGGATAGAGTTCAATGTCATCCTTGGCTATGGAGATAAGGGGGTTGTGATGGGGGTAGGTATTGCACAGAATTGTCATCTAATTTTAAACATAGGAGATACCTTTTAGCTAAGTTTTTTTCTCATCCATCCATCCATTCATATAGTCTTGCAGATCAAATACAGTTCTTTAAAAACAAACAGACAACAGGGCCTGTCCTGCTGGGCAGTGAGCTCTGCTGCCGAGCTCCATGCAGCCCTGGCTTGGCTTCTAAGGTTTATTCTGCTTTTGTGCTGTTCTCTGGTTTTTGTTAATTAGCACAGTTGCCTCCTTAAGGATAAAGCTCTGTGCATGTCTCCTGTTTTACAGAAATCTCCAAAGGATGTTTCTGCCCTATTTAAGTTGACAAAATGACATTCTGTGAAAGGTCAGATCTGGTTAACTAAAGGAAATCTGGAGACCCTACTTACAAAGACTTGTTAGACGGTCTGTAGGATTTTACTTCCCCTTCTACGCAGTAGGCTGCTGTAGTGCACAGTAGCTAGGGTCCCAGGAGATAAAAGGAAGGGTAAAGATGGTCTCTCTGATTGTCTCCCTCAGAGCAGAAGCTGTAAGCCAGCATGAACACAGGGAGAAAGTGAGCTGTTACATAAGCTCGGCCTTCTGTCTTCGTCTTTCTGAATCAGCTAATCTCTAAACCCACAGTCCAGCTTATAGAGCTCCTTGTGGTTTCCTGACTCGAGGCTGATTTTCCAGTGGAACAAGTCTTTCACAAGCATATGAATTTACAGAGGGTTTGCTCAGCGAGACACCATGGTCCTCGGGCTTCCAACTAGACTACAAGACATTCCAACTGTAACTTCCTCACAGCAGTGGCTCCTGAGGGCATTCAGAACCAGGTCTGATTGTCCTCTGTAATGAATAACCCAGAGTCAGAGATACAGCTCACCGAGGGGCCACTTGCCCAGTTGTGTACCAATAGGGCTCTTAGTTTGATTCCCAATACCACAAAGACACTTTTTAATTAAAAATAACGATGCTCTAATTTCTACATTACTGAAAGTTCTGTGTGGCAGAACCTCGCATAGCTACTAGCTGTTTGGTCTCCTTGAATGCTTGCTACTTTTCCTTCTTACTTTCTTATCATTTCAAAATAACTTAAAACTTTTCCTGTGTGATGAGTGTCTCCCAGCACTTAACACATGGTTTCATGGTGTGTGTGTGTGTGTGTGTGTGTGTGTTTCTCTTGTATTACTGGCAGTTTTATAATGGATTCTGTTGTTGCTTGCAATGAATTCCTAAGTGCGCACTATTGAGATTCCTTGATCGTGCTCTCCTTAGACTTAATACCTAATTTTTCATTTTCTGATAACTCACCAGAGTAATTTCTATTCTTTAGAACCTAGCTTTTTCTTTTAACAAGAGTAGTGAAGATAATTTCTCCAGTCCTGATTTTTAAAGTAATTCATAAGATATGCAAAGATGGTAAGTGGCTTCTGGGTTTGTTTGTGTATCCCTTATAGGTACAGTATCCGTCCTGTATTTGATTTTCCTTGTTACCTTGAAGGCTATTCGCTTAGGATTCCATCTGGAATTTCACTGGTTTGTGCCAACAGAATTTTTTGTACCAGGTGAGTTTGTCAAAATAAGAAATAAATAAATAACCATAACCATGTGTCTTTAACTACTGTGAAATGTTAGTCTAAAACAGGTAATGCAAGGTTAATGCGGTAGCTCTTGCCTGCCAATCCCAGCATGTGTGAGGCTGAAACAGAGGGCTGCCGTGAGTTCTAGGCCAGCCTGGGCCACAGAGTGGGGTACTGCCTCAGAAAAACAAAAATAAATGAAACAAAATAGGACTACAGTTGGTATTTCTGGCAGCTAGGAATGACTGGGCTCTATCATCTTGGACTTGACACTTGATGATTGGCATTAATTTATAGTGTACTTGAAAAATCCAAACCTTCTCTAGGCTTTCGAAGGAACATACTCCTCGAATGTCAGAGATTTAGAACATCGTTATGCATGTTGATAATACTGCTCATTAAAATCACTGTTCCTGACTGGGCATGGTGGCACATGCTTTCAACCCGGTACTCAGGAAGCAGAGGCAGGTAGGATTACTGTGCATTCAAGGCCAAACCCTGTCTCAAGAAGAAAAAAAAGGAAGGAAGGAAGGAAGGACGGAAGGAAGGAAGGTCATTATCCCCTTGTGTGTTTTTCTGTAATTGTATTGTTTTCAGGTTAAGATTTATGATTATTAGATGGATTTCTGTCTCATTTCTCCTCCTGATTATAATGTGGAAATTGAGTTTCACCCAAATATAAAATACATAGGACATTTTTTTAAAAAGCACCAATAAAACAATGAATAAATTCTACTAAATAAAAGACAGATTAAAAAGTGACTACTACCATATTGGCCTCCAAAATCTAGGGACATGCTTGTGTCCTTCGTGCTGTGCTAAAATGTTTGAGCAGCACTCAGCCTCTTTGAGACTTTTGTCTTCGAAGGGACGTGTGGCAATAAACGCCCAGAGGAGGCCAAGCCCAGGAGCCCACCAAAGCCGTTTCAGATGGAGGTGCCCTGGGCACCCGGACTCCTGTGAAACTAAATCCTACTCCATTCCAGGCTGTCTTCCACAGTTACATTGCCTCCTCTGGACACAGCCAGCAGCTCCTCACGGAGCCATTGCACCTTGAAATCAACAGACAAGCCCCCCCCCCCCGGCACCACCAGTCCTGGCCAGTGGCCAGTTCCCTCTCCAGCTGTCCAAGGAGAGGCTGTGTGAAGAACCCGGATTAAGTGACGATGACTGAGCCAGCTTGATGTGGAAACGCTGCCTGCATCGAGACGACAGCGAGGTTGTGGACCTTCTGTGGGGCAACTGAAAGTCCGCCTCGAGTGCCTGTGGATGGGTATTGCCCTGCCCTTCGAGGCGTTTTGCGGCCTGTCTCTGCCCATCCCCAGGAAAGGATTTGCTGGTGGCAAAGTGTCTCTGAGGGAGTTCCAGTCTTTTCACCAAGGAAGGACAGAGTTGGAAAATGCCCCAGTGTGTGAGCGATGCCAGCAGAAAACACGAACTGCCAAAGTTGACATACAAAGATTCCCCTGGGGAAAACTAATGATAAGAGAGTAATACTCAGTTCTGTTATTGGTTTAGATAGACTGCTTCCTTTCTGTTCTTCAGTCAGCAAGCAATCTAGAATCTCGAGTCAGAGATCACGTCATTCTGATATTCATAGTTGGAGCTATTTTATCTGCCTGTTTCTTTGTTATAACCTTCCTAGGCTTCCAAGCTGTATTGAGTACATAGTCGTTGAAAATTGTTGCTTTACCATGACTACTTGTTTTCAGAACATTTGACTTTAGTAACTTTGATTTTTCCAAAGTACTGGGTCTTGGAAGGGTTTGTTCCTTCTTTAACCACAGCACTTGGGAGGCTGGCAGCTAGATCTCTGAGTTTCAGAACAGCCAGACCATGAGAGACCCTGTCTCAAAAAAGATTTTAAAGTCCTGATGAAAATGCCACTATTGGATTCTCCCACTAATTAGCAAAAACAGTTCAGTGTACTTTTTTAAAAATATTACATCATTGTGATTTATTGAGCATTAGTGAGGGAGGTTTCTCCTCATGATCAGAAACTGGAAATAGATACCCAGAGTTGACCTAGCAATTAAGAATATTTGTTGTTCGCTCTTGCAAAGGACTCACATTTGGTTTTGAGCACCTGTGTGGACTCAGCACCCACCACCTGTAACTCCAGCTTCAAGGGATCAGTGTTCTGTGGATACCTGTACTCACATGAACATACTCACACACAGGGACAATTACACATAATTAAACATAAATATATTTTTAAGAATATATAGCCAGGGTGGATAAACAGCTATCTGGAAAACAGAAAAGAAGAAATTCATTCATTTTCCACCATCCAGTTTTGTATGGTATGAAGGGGGAATTATCGAAGAGTAAATGAGACATAGTTTCCATCAGCATGCTTAGAGACTGCCTGAAGAATGAAATATGCTCTAAGTTTTCCCAGAGGCCAATTAAAAATCAAGAGGACATTGGAGAGGAGAAACCTTTACCATCCTCATGAAAAGTGCCATCATTTTTACAATTCTAACGATATTTATGTATTCTTGTTTCATTTACAAATGCTTATTACATTTACTTATTTATGCACATACCACAGCATGTGTGGGGAGGAGGTCACAGCACAGCTTTTGAAAGTTGTGAGTTCTCTCCTTGAACCTGTGGGTAACTGGGTTTTTACTGCTTATTGGTTATTGGGTTTCTGTTGCTGCCATGAAACACTAAGACCAGAAAAGCAAGTTGGGAAGGAAAGGATTCATTCATCTTATCCTTCCACACTGCTGTTCATCACCAAAGGAAGTCAGGACAGGAACTCAAGCAGGGCAGGATCCTGGAGGCAGGAGCTGCTGCAGAGGCCACGGAGGGGAGCTGCTCCCTGGCGTGCTTCCCCTGACTTGCTCAGCCTGCTTTTTTCTTTTTTTTTTCCACTTAAACCGTCTTTAATGAAATCTGTGTGTGAGACGCCCCTACTCCTGCATCTTCTCAATCGTTTCTTCCTTGTATTTGTCCTTCTCCTTTCCTATTGTCGAGACTTGGCTTTCCTTTCCAGGATCTTCTTGCGGTCTTTGTCCAGCTTTAGCCAGGTGATCACCACCTTGCTGGGGTGGATGCCCACATGGACAGTTGTGCCATTAGCCTTTTCTCGCTGTACTCGTTCAATGTAGATGACATATTTCTTCCTGTACACCTGGACCACTTTGCCAATCTGCTGACCTTTGTAGTGTCCTCGGACAACCTGAACTTCATCATCCTTTTGAATGGGCATAGATGGAACATTGTACTTCTGTCTCAGCTCTTTGGAAAGAGGGGAAGACATGATCTTCCTCCGAATGTGAGAAGGTGCACTGAAATGCCGTTTGCGGTTCTTGCTTCGGTCAGAAGGCACGAAGGGATTGAACTTCATTTTGGCGGCTGCGATCCAGCGATGGCCGCAGAAGCAAAGGGGTCCTCAGCCTGCTTTCTTATAGAATCCAGGGATCAGCCCAGGATGACACCATTCACCGTGAACTGGGCCCTCTCCCATCAACAATCACTAAGAAGATGTCTTACACTGGATCTTATGGAGGCATTTTCTCAGCTGAGGCTCCTTCCTTTCTGATGACTCTAGTTTGCGTCAAATTGAGGTAAAACTAGCCAGTGTGCTGGGTATGGGACTCAGGTTGTCAGTTTTAGCAACAAGAGTCTTCACTTGTTGAGCATCCCTCTTGCCCGTTATTCTTATTTCTAAACTTTTACTTTTTAGTGTGTCTGTCATCGCCCTTACTCTCGGGCAGTAGTTGGGAGAAAGATTCAGCCTCTACTTACGCATTATTCTCCTCTCCTGCTAACTCAAAGACCTTTATCTCCCAAGTAGTGCCGTGCAGCCAACTGGCTTTATGTATTGTCTGTGGTAACCAGCACTGATTTTATATCTCCAGCCCAGATCCCCCATGAAGTCCAGCTCACACCTTGCTATCTTCACTTCCATGTCCATGGATAGATCAAGCCTAAGCTGGCAAAGACCAAATGTTGGTTTCTTTCCATGCCCGTCCCTATCCGACAATGCTCTCAGCCTCCCCCAGCTTAAACGGAAGCTGTAGTTTTCCAGTTGCTTTGGTCATCACTGTATAGTTGTTGACCATTTTCCATCCACACCCAACCCATCTGCAGAGTGTGTCTTTTGTTTTTTACAACAGTTAAGAATGTAACTTCCACTGTCTCCTCAAAAAGAGCTATGTCAAGCGATTAATCTCTTGTCTGGGTTATTGTAGTGCTAATTAATTTTGTCTGTCTCCCCCACCCTAAGCTAGTCTACATCCAGCAGCTAGAGTTATATTTGCAAAACAACCCAAGCTGCTATGGTATTGCATGCTTGTGATGCCAGCCCTTAAATGATCTCCAGTTAAAGGGCAGCCTGAACTACTTAGTAAGACCTGTATTAATGCAAAGACAACAAAACCCAAACCAGAATGCACACAACTCCTTAAAGATTTCCCATCTCATTAAGAATGACAGGTCTTTGAACAAGGGGGAGCTCATGGACCCCAGACTGATAGCTGGGAAACCAGCATAGGACCAACCCAGACCCCCTGAATGTGGGTGTTAGTTAGGAGGACTGGGCAGTCTATGGGGCCTCTGGTAGTGGATCAGTATTTATCCCTAGTGTACAAATGGACTTTGGGAGCCCATTCCACATAGAGGGATACTCCCTCAGCCTAGACATGGGGGAGGGCCTGGGTCCTGCTCCAAATGATGTGACAGACTTTGAAGAACCTCCATGGATGGAAGGCCTCACCCTCCCTGGGGAGCAGAAAGGGGATGGGATAGGGGATTGGTGGGGGGCAGGGGAGGGTGGGGGAACTGGGATTGACATGGAAAACAAGATTGACCTGACTGCTCTCTCTGACTCACTCCCCACTGCTTTTCCCTCTCGCTCACTCACTGCGCCACACGGGCTCCCTTGCTGATTATGAAGATGCCAAGCACACTCCTATCTTGGGACTTTTCCTTGAAGCTCTTATTAGTACTAACCTTATAGCAAGCACCTGTGATATCTGTTAGTAATTCCTAATTCTAGTGAGTTAGAGTCTTGGGAGCCCCAAATTATTCTAATCCATTTGGCTCCTGAGCTTCACAAAATACCTAAAGTTACAGTAAAGGGGGATTTATCAAGAAATATTCTAAATGTTTTGGGTTCTTGAATTCAGATACCAACAATCTCCTTTAACTGGAACATTAAACTCTCTGAGAAAAGGAGTATTACTTATATTCTTTAAACTTCTGTATTACTGTTGTATCACCAAATTCTATGATACTTGCTGGTGCATACTGAATGCTCATAAGAAATAAGTGTTGCATCATTGAGATGCAGGTAAAGGCACCTGCTGCCAAGCCTGAGCACCTGAGTTCAATCCCCAAGACCTACCCTGTGCATAGAGAGAACTAGCTCCCTCAAATTGCCTTCTGACCACCAGATTCACACAGTGACATGTGTGCGCGCGCACACACACGCACACACACACACACGCACGCGTGCACATGAAAAGTAAAATAAAAATGTAAAGAAGTATTTATTGAATAAGTAAATGTGTTTATTTTACTTCCTCCTGAATCCCGTTAACATTGGAGTGAAGAGAGACATGATGAAGGTGAACTAGGGAATCGTAGGGACAGGCCGAGTGGGAAGCCAGAGCAAACTGTAAGAGGGGAGTGTTAGGTGGGATTTTCAAAGAAAAAAGTACAAAAAAAATTGGGTGTATTGTACAAATTGAGAAGGGAGAGTTTATTATAAAATTTGAGGAGGAACTAGTACCAACTAATTAATTAAGGAACTAAAAAAGAAAAGGTTATTTCCTCCAGAAAAATAGGTCAGTGAAAAGTGTTTTTATATAAAAGGGAACTAATCACAGTGCAATCCATGGCTTACTGTGAATTCAGTCATAATCATAAAAGTAGCTTGATTTTTCAAATCCAAATCAAAAATACGGTTATTTAGCACTTCAATCCCCATGTTGGTTATAAGCATGCCCCAGCTACCACAGCTGGTTTATCCGGTGCTGAGGACCAAATCCAGCTTTCTCCATGCTTGCCACACACTTCACTGACTGAGCAGTCCCAAGTACTGTTTAACTTATCAGGTTGTGTTTGGTTGGGTGCAGACAAGTTTTCATGTAGCAACGAAGGCTAGCCTTCATGTGCAACTAAGGCTAGCCTTCAATTCTTGCTTCTCCTCACACAGTGCTAAGAATACAGGTATGTGTCACCATGCCAGCCAGGTTAAGTTTTTACTTTTTTTTAAAGATTTATTTATTTATTATGTATAAAGTGTTCTTCTGCCTGCCGGTATCCCTGAAGGCCAGAAGATGGCACCAGATCTTATTATGGATGTTTGGGAGCCACCATATGGTTGCTGGGAATTGAACCCAGGACCTCTGGAAAACCAGCCAGTGCTCTTAACCTCTGAGCCGTCTCTCCAGCCCCTGCTGATTAACTTTTAAAGCTGCAATTAAGATGATACTTCTGTGTTAGGTATAGTGACTCATGCCTGTAACCCTAGCACTCAGGAAGCTGAACCAGAGGATTTGTCTCAAGTTAGAGGTCAGCCTGGACTACATAGTGAGAATGTCGTCCTTAGGGTTTCTGTTGCTGTGAAGAGACACTGTGGCCTTTGTTCTTTTTTCTATAATTATTGCCTCTGAAACACAAACACGAGACTCAGCACTTACGTGGAGTTTATTGAGAGAGGGGAGAGGAAGGGGGGTAGCTGGTGGCCAACCGAAAGCAGGGGAGACGGGGGGAGGGAGAGACAGAGAAGAGAGAACGAGAGAGAGACCAAGAGAGAGAGGGAGGGAGGGAGAGACAGAGAGAGAGAAGAGAGAACGAGAGAGACCAAGAAAGAGAGGGAGGGAGAGAGAGAAGAGAGAACGAGAGAGAGAGAGACCAAGAGAGAGAGAGAGAAAGCGCACTTGGCGCTCTTGCTTTAAAAGGGAAACTTGCTTGTGCATGCGTAACTGAGTCCTCTGGCAGCCAGGTAAAGCCTGAGCAGCCAGGTAAGTCATGATGTAGATAAGACATGGCCATGAGCATCCCGTCCATCATCGGGGGCAGGGTCAGCAGACTGCTGGTTCCCAACAACCACGCCTTCGCATCAGGTGGCATAGCTTAAGCTTAGCGACCTCAAAGTCGACCTCCACAGTGACACACTCCTCCAACAAGGCCACGCCTCCTAATAGTGCAGCTCCCTTTGTGGCCGTTTTCTTTGAAAGCACCACAGAGACCTATCTCCAAAGAAAAACCCTCCCAATACTTTGAAACTGTCATCAAAGAGACTTTAGATACTAGTTTACTCTGTGTGTGGACGTTTGTGTGTGTGCCGCACAAAAGCCAGGAATTACATCACGTGTTTTCCTCAATAACTTCCATCCTTTGTGAATTTACTTGAATTCTTTAATTACAACGGAATAACCATGGCATGAATGTTATATCCTTTGAAAAAGCATATTAGGCATATTTCCCCTTAATATGTGTGTGTGTTTGTTTATAACTTCATTATTTGTAATTGCCAAAAGTATAAGCACCCAATGTCTGTCCCTGGTGAATATCTAAAGTATGGTGTATCGACACAATGGGTTACTAGAAAGGCACAAAGTACTGTGGTAAAACACAAATGAGTTATATTTTAGCAACACTGAAAAATCTTGGGTTTTTAAATTTTTGTTCAGAGTATTTGTGTCAGTCAATTGCAAAAGCCTTACTTTGAAAAGGACCAAGTTCCTAAGCTGTTATAGACAGATTGATTGCTTTGAGATGGAAAAGGTCAATCAAAGAGAAAATCAATAATGTCAACTCTAAAACAGTTTTAAGTAGAATTTGTTCATATCCATGGCTGAGAGTCCTTCTGTTCTGACAAAAGTGTCCCTGCTCCGTGACACACAGTGTCCCGTAAAACATGAACCACTGCCCTCCAACAGGTCCCAGTTGAGCAGTAAGATAATTGATGAAATTAAAGTCATGATATGAAGAGGCTCACCAGGGACACTGAAGTACAGAGAAATTGCAATCCAGAGGAGGCAGAGAAATGATCTCAGAGGAACCTATTAAGGGCCGAGAGGAGGTTGCTAAATGAGAAATTGGAGAATTCTGAGAAGTATGCCATGCACAGTTAAGGCCTGAAGTAACATGACTCATTTAGGAAATTATGAGAACTTGAATGGCTCAATTGAAAGAATACTTGTTGAGAAAATGGTAGGAAGTACTAAAAAGCAAGAACGGGTCTGAAAAGCCTTCTCTCTTACGCTAAATTTAACTCTAAAGGTCAGTCATGACTCTACCCTCCTCCCACCCTTGAAAGATAGGCTTTTGTCCTCAGAAGACCAGCCGGGAGAAGTAAGAATAAATAGTCCTATAGTTCCCTGCTTGAAAATAGAATTCGGAGTGAAGCTGGCATGATGAAATGCTACCCCAAACAGGATGAGGTCAGGGGTGCCCCTCCCCCCCTCCCCTGGACACTCTCAGTCAGCAGTGGAACCCTGTCGGAACCTTTGGGCTGGGCTACCACTGTTCATCCAGTGCTTACCTAGTATGCAAGAGACCTTGGATTTGATCCTCTGCTCTGTGTAAAACTGGATATAGTAGTGCACACCTCTACTCCCAGAGAGTCGTTCCCAAGTAAGCACGTACCAAAACCGGGTCAGAAGAGCAAGAAATGTATAAGGACAGCCCTTCTGCAAAATTAAAGGGGTTAGGAGCAAGACTAAGCCTGGCTGAGATTTGTAGGGAGGGAGAGAAGTGGATTGGGCAGAAGTAAATTCAGACAGTCCTGGCCAGCCACTATGACCCTCAACGCCTCTAGAATAGTCTATGGTTACACAAATGTGCCCAACCCCTAATACACTGCAAGCTCAGGGTTGGCTAGTACCTGCCCAGTGGGAAAGAGACTAGTGTAGGGTCAGGGCAGCAGACCCCGGAGGGCTACAGCTGGAACCATCTGCTAACATCCTCCTTGCTTAGGTTCGCACGTAAAGGGAGATCTGAGTGTTCTTCCACAGTTCCGTACCAGAGTACTTCAATATATGCCCCGTAGAAATGAACGTGCTCATAGGCCAAATTAATGTCTGCTTTGCTAGTGTGGATGGGATCATTTAATTGGTTTTCTTACAGCTTCTCCCTGGTTGTTATATAAGAAAAGTATTTATGTGGCAAGGCAGCCTTTTGAGACAGGATCTCCCTTTAGCTCAAGCTAATCTGGAATTTACTAAGTAGCCCAGACTGGCCCCAGACTCAACCTGCTAAGTGCTAAGATTACAGACATGAACCACTGGTTGGTAATTTCTTTTTCTTTCTTTTTTTTTTTTTTTTTTTTTTTCTACTTAACTGCCTTACTTTGGATTCCAGCTAAAGAGTTTGTCAGTTATTTCTCTGTTAAAAATATCAGCAAGTAAATTCATGTGCACATGAGTTTGCCATTTCCAGAAATAGTACTTTTGCCATCATGCATGTATAATGTTGTTGACTAGAAGCAGCCTCAGTTTATTAAGAAGAGTTTTAGAAAGATGACTAGAAGAAAGATTTTTTTTTTTAAACTAACAAAGGAAGAATTTGCCTACACGGTGAGTTGCGGTCACAGATAAAAAGTATAGACGGTAGCAAAGAGAGTAAGCCAGGTGTGGTGGTCCATGCCTGTAGCCTGGGTGTTGAACTCGGGAGGCTGAGACAGTCAAAGAGAAAACAGGGGAAACCGTAGACTTTTCCTGGCCCTGCCTTCTGATTTTATTTAGAGCTGGTGGTTGATTCCTAGGGGATCACTCTCCCTTCCCTGAAACAGTGTAGCAAAGAGACGGTAGACCTTGTCTACAAAGCTGCCCTTTATAGCAAGCTGTCCCTGACATTGTTCTCTGCTTTGCCTCATGCTTTGCCTAGAACCTACCAATATTGCCAAGCAGACCGTGCTCTGATTCCACGTTGGCTAATTCTTTCACGTATTACCCGCCTACAAACTGGTTATGGAATGTTACTTTTAAATAACTATTTGTTATAGAAAATTAAATGGTCAAAAATAAATCCTGTCAACCAACCACTGTGATTCTGTCAACATCTTTTCTTCCTTTTCTTGACTACATAGCCTCCAGCTGCTTATGTGTATTTTTACAAAAGCGAATCTCGCTTGACATGCTGCTGCACTCAAACATTGGTCCGTCCTGGTATCAGATCTCACCAGCGTAAGTTTTACATACTGTACCCACTGAGAACTAGATCTCAGTTTAACCAGGAATATTTTTGTGCGGTGCATTTTAGATTTTCACCCAGGAATCTTTAGTAGCCATTTCTCCTCCTGTAACTCCTTTTCTGGAGGAACTCTTCATTTTCAGACAAACGTGGGTATTGGAAGAGTGGAGGATTTTAGTCCTAGACAGGCCCTGAATTTAAAGCCACTTGTAGGATCTCAGCGAGGGATAACTGAAAGTCATAGAATGTGCAACCCTTCGTTCCTTTCCTTTCTCTTTTACGTGCCTTGACCAAGTGTAATGCTCAGCTTGAGGGACTTTAGAAATACTTGAATGATTTCATTCCCTGGAGCAATGATGATGATGATGATAAAAGTGGATGCTTGCTTGGTATTCTTTTTCTACTTGTCATTTTAACGTTTCTGGTTTTGTCTCTTTTTCTCCTAGAGATAAGATTTGAGTTCCCACAGCTGACTGGAGTGCTCACTCTTGCTTTCTTTATTCACAATTGTATTATCACACTCTTGAAAAACAACAAGAACCAAGAAAATAATGTGAGTTGTTCACTGAGAAACTGACCTTGATATTTCCTAAGGGTAAACTTTAGTCAATATTTGATGCACTTTATATTTTGAGTAAAATTGTACAATTTGTTTCTACATCTTAATTTTTAAGTTTAAATTATAGATCCGTGTTCAAGCATATGGAACTTTTAGATGGTAACTATTTTAGGCTTTTCAGGCTATATGTTCTTGTTATAGCTTCCCAATCCTGCCGTTGTGGAATAAAAATAGCTACAAACAATAGGTAAACAAATGGTTTTATCTCTGTTTCAATAAAGTTTTATTTACAGAAATAGACACTGGGTCAGATTTGACCCATAGGCCAGAGTTTGCCACATTGCTATAGAGAATCTACTTAAAAAGTAAAGATGGTTAGCTAATAACACTCCAATAATAATAAACGGGAAGGTACTAAAGAAGACAAGAGAAGAACAAAAAATAGATGTGATTTAAACCATGTTACATTGATAATTACACTAAATATAAATGATCTAAACACAACAATGGAAAACTGCCAAACTTGTTTTAAACCATGTTACATTGATAATTACACTAAATATAAATGAGCTAAACACAACAATGGAAAATTGCCAAATTTGTTTTAAAAATAAAATTAATTATAATTGTCTTTAAGAGACTTTAATATAAAGCTGTAACTTTGGCATACTATAAGAAATTAGAGCACCTGTGTTGCTAGCAGCACAAATGATGATGTCAGAGCCAAAGAGGAGTGATTATATTGTGCTCCTTATGGACTAATTCACTTGGAAGTACCATGGCGATATATATAAAATTTACATTTGAGTAAATGCCATAATGGGAATAAGTGCATACTGTGTTTTAATTAGATTTGGCCATTTACTAAAACTATAAAAATATTAGTTAACAGTACATTTGTTCTTAGTTACTCATAATGTAATGTTACACATAAAGTACTGTCTAGTCTATACTATGAGGTCATACTGTTTTCTTCGTTTGCAAAAGAAATGCTTGTGTTTTCTGTTTATTTTGCTTTAATATCAGGTTATACAGCAAATATGCATTGAAATACAATGTTCTGTCTGGAAGGGAGGGAGGGAGGGAGGGAGGAAGGAAGGAAGGAAATATAGTAATCCCGAGTCTATATTCACCCAGTGATAGAACTCTAAAATACATGACATGGGCCTGCAGGACGGCACAGTTAGCAAAGACACTTGCTGCCAAGCCTGACAACCTGAGTTCAGTCCTGGGATAAACATGGAAAGGTCTTCTGACCTTCACACACTGTGGCATGTGTGTGCTCACACACACCACTAAATAAAATGTAATTAAAATAAAGGAAGTAACAACAAACTGAAAGCAGACAAATCCACAGTTATAATTGGAAATGTTCTCCCTCCTCCTTAATAACTGGTAGAACAAATAGACCAAAAGAAAAAAAATGCAAGTGTAAGAAGCATGAAAAATACCATGAACCTGCCTGATCTAATTGACATTTACAATAGTCCTCTCAGTATCAGAATGTACATCCCTTTCAGATACACAGGAACACCTTCCAAGACACAGCACATGCTAGGCCACAAAACAAGTGTCAATAAATGCAGGAGAAAAGTATGCCAAGTATGTTCTGTGGCCATAAATGAGCGTAAGTACAGACTAACAACTCACCTTTGGGAATTTACAAAGAAATGAAAGTTAATCAGCGTTTTCCTATATAACCAGTGAATCAAGGAGGAAGTCACCAAAAAAATTAAAGGCTACTGAAAATATGAAATACCGAAATATCAAAACTTATGGAATTATCCCTAAACCTATATTTAGAGGGACATGTACAGCTATAAATACCTACATTAAAAAGTAAAACTGTGAAACGAGAAACCTAACCTCCCTCCACTTTCTAAGTGCTAGTCAGGAAGATGAGGAATTGAAGGTTATCTGCCACTACATAGTGAGTTTAAGGCCAGCCTGGACTATGTAAGACCAAGTCTTTTAAAAAAAACAAGTAGTTTAGTAGCAAAAAAAAATTTTTAGACAATATGTCATTGTGCAGTCTTGGCTGGCCTGGAACTCACTGTGTAAACCAGGCAGGCTGGAACTCACAGTGATCTGCCTCCTCTGGATTCTAGGATTAGTAATTAGTTAAATTGCTGGCAGGTCTCACATTGCATGGTTCCTACATCCACAAATTTAATTACTGTAGTTGAAGTTAGAAGTCCTGATAAGGTTCACATTTCAGTTACCCCCAGATTTGAATTTATGAGCTTGCGGAGAGTAATAGTCACTGTCCTCGGCTCACAAGTTGCTGTGGGCATTATGATCAGTGACAGATCAGGTTACTGCTTTCAAAGTCAGCCAGTATTTGTGTCATTCACAGTCTACAGAAGAGATCATCAACAACATGGCAGCAACAAACATGGCAATTTATAAAATTGGTAACTGAAAAAGGTGAAATGCAATAATCAAAAATGGCAATGATAAAATGAAATTTCATTCAGACATAAGTAGAGTACAAAAGAAATAGCTGCTTATAGAAATGTTGAAACCAGCCGGGCGTTGGTGGCGCACACACACCTTCAATCCCAGCACTTGGGAGACAGAGGCAGGTGGATCTCCATGAGTTCAAGGCCAGCCTGGTCTACAGAGCAAGTTCCAGGACTGGCTCCAAAGCTATATAGAAATCCTATCTTGAAAAACCAAGAGAGAGAGAGAGAGAGAGAGAGAGAGAGAGAGAGAGAGAGAGAGAGAGAGAGAGAGAGAGAGGGAGAGAAAAGGAAAGGAAAGGAAGGAAGGAAGGAAGGAAGGAAGGAAGGAAGGAAGGAAAGACGGGTTGAAAGCACTTCCATTTGAGAGACTCCAGCCAGAAGAGTTTAGGGAAAGGAAACCGGTTTTCAAGACTAGAAGAAGGTGACACTGTCAGAAAACTTGACATTAAAAGGATTCTTGGCGAGACCTCACACTATCGAAAGCACAAGGGTGGACATGTCACTGAGGTCTTGAAAAGATGCTTGATAATGATGAATGGTAATTCACGAAAAGGACGCGGGTATTGGCCCAGCCTTGCGCCTGCCATCTGCAGTCCAACACTAGGGAGGGGCAGCAGGCAGGAGAGCAGGGATTCAGGGTCGTCCTTGGCTCACAGCGAGTTTCAGGCAAGCCTGGGCTACAGGAGACTTTATACTTAACCAGGTCAGGGTAGGGGAAGGCAGTTAAGCTACTCTTAGAAACAAAGCATCCTAATATTCAGTGCTTCTGGTTCACTTATTTCTTCATTTGTTCATTTAGTGCAATGCTGGGTACTGAACCTGGGGGCCTATGCACACGAGTAAGCACTGGACCTAACCACTTCACTACGTTCCCAGGCCCTTTGGTGCTGGGTTTGTTTGTTTCAGTTGCAATGCTAAATAAGCACTGGTTTTAATCTTTTTTCATCCCCTTCTGCATGTGTAGCAAATACAAACCCTGTCAGAGTTTACTCAGCCACCATAATTTCTCTGTGACCAACTCCCCACTTCCGGCCGTACAGAAACCTGTGCCTGTCACACTGCACGTACAGACTGCCCGCCCCCACGAGTGCCTAACTTGTGCCCCCAAACGTCCCAATAGGATTGATTTTCTAGAAAGTGGGGCACGTCCATTTGGAAGGGTCCGTGCCTCTTTGTGGGAAGCTGAGACCTGGGAAGGGACATGGGTGCCTTGGTGTTGCCGCAGGACCCAGGCGGTCTCTGTCTGTCTGTCTGTCTGTCTGTTTGTCTGTCTGTCTGTCCTATTAGAACAGCCAGGAGCCTACAGGTGTAGTCAGTGGTGCAGTGCCTGCTTAGTACTTGTAAGTTGTGAGTTTAAGAGCAAGCGGCACAGCAGCCAGCCACACAGAACAAAGTAGAATGCTGGACGCCATCAGTTTCTCCTTCTGCTGAGTTGGTCAATGAGGGCTTGGAAAACTAGTACATATATTAAGTGCACTAATAAAATCTGTCTCTGGAAAATACATTTTAAAAAAATACTTAAAGACCGGTGTTTAAATGGACTTTTTTTCTTTTTATTGCCTTAATTAAAACTACAGTATAAAGTGAAGGTCTACCTTTTAAAGTTTTGGGTCTTTTAGTTTTTAGCTTTCCACAACTCTTCATTTTGTGAGGTACTGCATGCCAGCAGCGCCCTGACCACTCTAATGTATGAAGATATACACCGTCTTGATTATACTGAAATTGGCTTTTATATAGGCATAAACCAAGCTAAACAGATACTATATTGTTTGAGTTAGTTAATGATTACACCTTTTAAGAGCTTTCACTAAATGATTTACTAAAAATGTCCAGTTAATAGCAAGATATAAAATTTTGGAGGGATTAAAGTTTAAAAAAAAAAAAAACCCTGAGAGCTGTGAAGACAATTGAAAGTAAAAAAAAAAAAAAAAAAAAAAAAAAAGGCCCAATCTTTCCCTCCAGTTCCCAGAGCTGGGCCTGACCCTGCCCCGCCCCGCCCCACCCCTCCCCGGCACTGATGAAGGGTTATCGAGCCCTTGGCTACACTGACATGGTTTGACTTCCCTCTCTGAAGTCACTAAACGTAACTTTATATGTGTGTACCTGAACTGTGTATCCTCTCCATTCCCTAAAGCACATTTGACCAGAGAAGCATTAGGGCGTTAAAAGTGAATGTCCCATCGAAATGCATTGTCTGTGCAGATATGTGGGTTCCACATAGCCTGATAGTGTTTGTTGAGTCAGACCTTAGCAGAGCTTTCTGTGTGGTTTTGTTGTTTGATTTCATCGTTGCCCAGCTTTGATCTTTTTCTTCTCATCTGAGTCTGCAGGGACTTGTCTACACATCAGAAGCTTCTATGTAAAAGTTTGGGGTAGATCTGTGTGGCTGTTGCCTGTCATTTTTCTTAGTGAATGCTCTGTAGGGTAGTATTTTCACTGTGAACAGTACATGGAACAAATAAACTGTGTTTAACAAACAGGTGTTGCCAGGGTTACTTTTGACAGGGACAATCTAGCCCTTGTTTGGAGTTGACATTCTACCTGTCTTTTAGTTCCTCAATTCCAGCCGTTGCTTATTTATGAAGCAGAGTAAGGTGCGGGCTTCTTGACATAGACGTGCTACCTCCTCATACTGTGCTTCTATCTCTTTTTAAACATACTCTTTGCTTAGAGCCTCTTCTCCCCCCCCCCCCACTCCTTTCAAGACAGTCTCAGTGTAGCCCAGGGAGCCTCAAAGTCACAATGTAGCTGAGGATAACTTTGAACTCCCAATTCTCCGGTCTCTGTCTCCCAGTTGCTGAGGTTACAGATAGCTACGCTACCATCACACTCAGACACCCTAATTTTTCAAAAGATGCCTTTTCCTACCCTTTCCAATGAGACAGGGCTTTAGGAAGCTGTACTTTACTTTAGGTTGGGTGTAAAGATGGCATGGGTTTCAAAGAACAGCAAGCCATTCATGGGCGGTGCTGGGCCTCGGTACTTCCGTAAGAAAACAGGCACATCCACTGTCCGCGCTGTCCCCTAATGCGTGCTGAATACATGTAACAGAGCCGTCCTCTGGGGCGGCCTCTCTGGTTGTGGCTTCATGTTATACTCTTTGATACTCCTTTTTGCCCCCCCCCCTCTCTCTCTCCATTATTGAATATGGTCTAAATACCTGGAGACTGGTAAACTTTTCACCATAGCAGCTCAGCACACACAATTTGGCACCAGAAAGACCTTGTTTAGAGGTTGGAATATTGGTTTCACCAAGTACTCACCACATAAAAGTTTTGTGACTTAGACTCCTCTGTAAAGAAATGGAGCGCAGCCACACCATCAGGTTTTACGAGGGTCAGATGGCACGCCAGGCGGTGCTGGATGCTGGCGTCTAGAACCGGTTAACAGATATGTGTGCTGCATGTAAGGAGTCGCTGCCATCATGACCAGGGTGTCCCCCCGACAAGCCCGCAGTGCCCACAGGTGGGGCGGGCCATGGAGAACCGTGCTGGACATGGAACCATGTCTGCCTTATTGCCTGTGAGCAACAGCTTACATGGCAGAAACCTATGACTGTTTAGCACCTCGGACCGGATAGTGGCCGCTCATAACACCAGGGTCTCTATGGGAAAGAAGCACATTAAAAAGAGACAGACAGCGCACACTTGTCCACGGGCCAGCTACCAGTTACTAACGCCCACTTCAGAACCCGGTGCTCTGACTTCTGGGGCGTGGTGTGCCATGCATCTCATTTAGAACACAGAGTGCCAGGGAGGCCGGCTGCCAGGCCCTGTCTGCGTTTTAGCCTAAAAGTTCATGCTATGTCCAGAACTGTCCTACATAGTATTGGGAGCGTAAGGTGAAAAAGACCGTCCTTGTCTCCAGAGTCTCATGGTCCGATGGTATGGATCTATTTAGAAGAAAACTTAATGATAAAACAACTGTAATAACTTGGCTATTTTTTAATGTCAAGGGACATCTTTCCACTCGAGAACTTTTTTCAAAAAACTGATAATTTTGGGAGCTGGAGCAATGACTCAGCCTTTAAGTGTGTGAACTATTCTTTCAGAGAGCCCAAGTTCAGTTCCCAGAACCCACATTGGGCCGCTCACAACTGCTTGGAACTCTAGCTCCAAAGAATCCAACACCTTCTTCTTACCTCTGTGGACACCGGGCCTCCTGTGCATATACCAACACACACACAGACATAGACACAGACACACACACACACCTTAAAATATAAATAATAGTAGTAAATCCTTAACTGGATTGTTTCTATAATAAAAGTTAATGGCAGTTAGAATGTAAGCATTGCTGCACATAACTAATGTCGTAAGAATAGGGAGACTGGGAGGGAACACGGTTTTGTTGGAAGGCGCTGGCCTTGGAATCACCATTCACATCTCCTGAAACTTCACTTAGGAGCATGTTTTATAGGAGTCGGACTAAAGTCGTACAGTCAGATGATACATAAGTTAAAGGTTATCAGTGAAATCCACCACCCCACCCCGGGGGGGGGGGGGGGGTGGGGGGGGGGGGGGGGGGGGGGGGGGATCCACTCCCCCCCACCCCACCACCCCACCCCGGTGTGTGTGATGCATATGTGTGGACATGTAGAGACCACAGGTTGAAATTGGGAATCATCTTCCATTGTTCCTACCTCTTCATTGAAGCAGAATCTCTCAATCAAACCCAGAGCTCACAGATTTGACTCGTCTTGCCAATCATGTTGCTCTGGGATCCCATCTCTCCCTTCCAAGGCTGGAATTACAGGCCGACTTGGCACGGACGTGGAGAGCTGAACCCCAGTCCTCGGGCTAATTTGTAAAGAGCACTTTAATCACGGAGCCCTCTCCCTGGCCCCCCAAGATTTTCTTTTCTTAAGGGGGCCATATTGGGCTGCACAAATGATTCAGCAATTGAGAGCTTGTACTGCTTTCTCAGAGCTGGGATTCAGATCCCAGTATGCACATTGGTAGCTCATGACCACCTGTAACCCCGGCTCCCAGAGTGTCCTTGGGCACCAGCACTCACAAACACACACACATACATAAAAACAATAGATCATGTTTTAAATGAGGCTGTCTTAGTTCTTGAGCCAGCTTGAGTAGGTGGAGAATGGAATGCCTTTGAAATGTTGTAATTGAAGCCAACTACTTTTATATGAAAATAGGCATTTCTTGATTTGTTTTTTCTCAGAGGGTGGCACAGCCCCAGGGAAAACTGAATTCTACCCTGGGCCCTAGAGCTTCATGAACTAAAGAGAAAAGATTTAGAAGCTATTCACTAGACAGTAAGCTCTCACAGAAATTTGAAAGGGCTGGGACCAGTTTGCATAAGCGTCTAGCTCCAAAGGCCTACCCACTGTCTCATTTCTGATACTGAATCCCCGGGTTGTTTTCAAGCTGAATGTCACTTTAGACGTGACCCTAAGATTTCTCATAGGCTTTTGTTTGCTTTTTAGCCAGATTTATGAATCTCAAGTTTATAAAACACTGTTGTTGCTTCAGCCCATTTTAGGAGTCATCCAGAAAAGTCCAAAATGTTCCCTAATTCCAATGTCTGAACATTCTTACTATGTTATCAAACTTCAAAACTGCATATAATTTGTTCTAATCTGTTTTCCTAGCTTTCATGTAATTTCTATCCAAAATGAATAGGCCTGTTGCTACAATTTAGTTGTGTTGAATTGTTTGCCTTAACTTAAGTGGTAATGGAGGCCGCTTGTAAGCTGTGGAATCTGCTCTGTTTGCATCTAACAGCTGGCTGCTTTCAGTCAGCTTTTTCTTTTGCATGGACCAGGGAGGGAGGAAGGGGTGGGAACATCGGTGGAAGAAAGCAGGCCACTTTACTTAATAATCTGTGTTTGTTTGCTGACTCGGGTAACAGCCTTGGACAGCTATTTGAACAGCTGCTTTTTAAATGCCCTTTTGTTTACTGTGTAAGTTTTTAAAGCTTGCCCTTAATTCATACTTGTGTCTACTCTTTAACTGGTGCCCCTCCTTTATGAAATATATTTTAATATGCTCCACTCCCTTGGCCTACACATACTTTGATGATACAAGCTAATTTGCTAAAAAAGAATTTTAAAAATTTCATAGGTCAAACCAAAAGTGGCTTATACTTTCTTGTTTGTCTTTATTTGTTATGATTATTTTTTAATTTGACAAATGTTACCTATTGAAATTAAATTAGAACTTCAGTTGTGTTAAACCATAGTTTATATTAGCTCTCAAAGTCTTCTAACAAGTAGTTTAGTCTACATATTCCAGACAAGTTAAAAAGAAAAACTATATATAATTGCATTTTGTGAAAATTAGGAAGTATTCAGACCCATATAAAATAAAAAGATACGTGTGGATTTATTTGTCAGACTCCTTACTTAGTGTGTTTAAGTACACTTACTGTAAATGTCTTCATACTGAGTAAACATTTTTACCCTGTGTTTATATGCAGGTAAGAGACCTGTGCATTGCTTATATGCTGGTAACACTGACTTATCTCTATATTGGTTTCCTGGTTTTTGCCTCGTTTCCTTCACCTCCATTATCCAAAGATTGTATTGAACAGGTAAGGCACTGTGTACACGTGTGTGACTTTGCATGTGTAGCAAGGAGAAAGATACAGGAGCCAGATGAGTCAGGCCTGGACTTGAATGCCACCTCTACCTTCCCGTCCTTTCCAAGTTTCTGTTTCTCTCTTGCATCAAGTAACATAATACATGCAGGCTCCATCTGATGGATTCTGGAATAGGGTCCTGCATACCCTGCAGCTTGTGAAGCTCAAATGCACCCTCTTGCACACACATTTCCGTTTGTACAGACCACGGTTGCCAGCATTCACATGGATCTCTGAACCCTCCACTGAGAATGCACTGTAGTCCCTGATTTTCCAAAGCTTCCTTGTGGAAATGTCCTGGGTGAACCAGCTTTAACTCACTGGTCTTTAAGGACAGGACTCTCGTTTAGAGACTGGGTAACAAGGAGCAAAAGGAAGCAGACGACTTAGCTTCTAAAAAGTGAGAGCCAGAAACAGTAAGAGAGAAATCCTTTGCTAAGCAGTTGTAGTGAAACTTAAAAATAATATCTCAGGTATTAAAGGATTTCTCATGAAGAACTTACTTACGGGTAATTTCCTAGTCAGAGGGAACCCTCTAGGAGTCTAGTGACCGTGTTTTAAGCCAGTTACAGGGTGTATTTCAGCACCGTTGTTGATAGGCTCTCTACAAGGCGGCAGAGCTGCTGCTGTGTGATAACTGGAAATGATCTCCTCTTCATCGTGTTGTTTGTGGACGTTCTTTGGCAGCCAAGTGTTTGCTGAAAATTTCCCTGATATGAATAATCCCACATAAAGCCAACTCCCCCGGGAATGAGAATATTTGTGGTATTCATAGTTGGAAGGGGAAATATAATTCTGGGTTATTAACTTTTTCAGCTACCAAAGTAAATCCGTTCTACTTAGTGCTAGACTGCAAGCATTGTGGCACCTGGTGACAGGTGTCCTCTTGCCGTGCACAGCCTTCAGAGTGCTGCAGGGTCACCGGAGGAAAAACAAGAGAGCTGTAGTAGATACAACGTCACCGAATTTAGTTTGCCATTTAAATAAATCAGGAACAGATTTGCTTATTGTATTTGAACTTTTTAGAGCTACGTTTCTTGGTCTATCTGTTGCAAAGGACAAGGTTTTCCTCATTGTTTTAATGTTGAATCGTTTTCAGACCAGTATGTTCTTAAACAGAATATGCATGCCAGTGTGGGTGTTTTATCAGTTTCTGTGTGAGTTTTGGCTTCTGTACTCACCTCCTAACAAGTAGTTAGCAAGCCATCATAAGTGACTACTGGGGCATTGCCTGTGTTCACGCTAAGCAGAACGTGTTGTGACTTGGAATGTACTGCACTGAGTGTTGACATCACTCCGTTGTCTTTCTTGGACCAGAACTTCTTAGACAACTTCCCTAGCAGTGATGCCCTGTCCTTCATTGCAAGGATCTTCCTGCTGTTCCAGATGGTGACCGTCTACCCACTCCTAGGCTACTTGGCTCGTGTCCAGCTCCTGGGCCACATCTTCGGTGACGTTTATCCTAGGTAAGGGTTCTTCTCTTGACCAGCAAGATGTGCCAAGCAACAAATGACTGTGCAAACAGGTCAGTTTAAAGTTTGACTGATCCTTTTGCTATTTAAAAAAAAAGAAAAAATGCCTAATGGAAATGGTTACTAAGGATAGATCACAAGGTCCCTTTCCCAGAAGAGCTTTAAATAGAGATGCCACTCCCTTGACTAGGACAATCTGGTGTCCATCCCTTCCAGGAGAGTCTATTATTATCTGTGTGAGGATTTAACTGCTGCTAAGTACACCGTGCCAAGGAGTGATTAACACTTAGAACCTATGTTGCTGTGTTGCTCAAGAGAGCGAATACATTCATTATTGATATTAATACTCATATGTTTATTAGTAGCTGTACAGTTCTATAGAAATGCTCACTTGTGTAGAATTGAAGGTGAGACATAGAATGAGTTTAAATTCTTATTTCATACATAACAAGTTTAAATTGCTATGGGAAGTTTAACCTTTTAATGGGCCGAGAGGAATTGTACATCCTTTTGAAAAAGATCTGTTCAGGTTGTTACCCTTATCCAAGAGAAATTTCCATGTAACTTCATTGTGTCTCAAGGCTTTCCTGAAGATTTCTCGCAGTATAGTAAATATTATAAAAGCAAAAAGTACGTAGCCTTGTCTTACTGGGAAGAAATTAGCGTTGGGAGGGAAGGTGTTTGAGGGAGCGTATCACTAAGTGGCCAGAGATAGCCTGGAGCTCATGATCCTACCTCAGCCTCCCAAAGGGTGGGATTGTAGGTATGAAGGGAATAAATACTTTAAAGGATTAAAACGTATGAATCCAGCTTTTTTTCTTTTCCTTCCTTCCTTCCTTGTTTGTTTGTTTTGTTTTTTGAGACAGGGTTTCTCTGGAGCTTTGGAGCCTGTCCTGGAACTAGCTCTGTAGACCAGGCTGGCCTCAGATTCACAGAGATCCACCTGCCACCCCCCCCCCAGCCTCCCAAGTGCTGGGACTAAAGGCGTGTGCCACCAACGCCCAGCTGTGTGTGTGTGTGTGTGTGTCTGTGTGTCTGTGTGTGTGTGTGTGTGTTCATTATTTTAATGGTGGTCATTAGAGTGGTTTTTCTTCTTGGAAAAAGTCTGAGATCTGCCTTTTGTCATCACATTATAGCACATCATATTTCTTCCCTGTTTTAAGAACACATTGTCATTTGCCCTACACTTAGTTACATGTTCCACAGGCAATGATTTTTTTTTTTTTAACTCAAGACTTCTTCATACCCTTAAGTTTTATTGAATATTACCAGGAACTTTAATTTTCAAAGGTACATTATCAATATCTAATGTAAAAAATTGAAGCTAAGAGTTTTAAGGTATTTACTGGTTCCTTAAAAGTTGGTCAGTCCAAGCATGTCGGCTCACACCTGTGTCCCACGCACTTAGGCCTTAGAGGCAGGGGAGTGTCGAGTATGAGACCAGCTGGGAAACAGACGCAGCACTCTTGAGACCCTGGCATCCCCTTCAGAAATTATAAGTAAAACCATTACTTGTTAGCATGAATAATATTTTTATGAAATAACTGATGTCCCCCAAAATTGTTTTACAATTAAAACCTTTTTTTATTTTTTTATTATTTTACTTGTCTATCCCAGTTCCCTCTCCTTCCCTTCCTCCCCCTCCCTCCCTCTTACTCTCTCTGCCCCCTCCCCTCCCCCCACCCCAATTCCCCCATGAGGCACATCCCCCATGAGGGATACTGCCTTAACCTAGAGACAGGAGAGAAGCCCTAGTCCCTCCTTCAAATGACCTGACGGTTAAAACCTTTTAAAGTCTGCCTTCTGGTTGACAGTCAAAGTCTGTGTGTTCCGCATTGTCTGTCACACTATTATTTCATTTAAGTATGTGAAGAAAATTCAGCCTCCTATAGATGTTGGAAAAGAAGAGGCGCTTTTAATAGCCTTTCCGATAGTTGTGAATGTCTTTGGTGCCGCGAGGAGGCGTGGCACAGCCTGGCCCCTCGTTCGCCTTGTGCAATTGCAAAACTGGTCGCCTCAAACCCAGCTGTTCTTTGCTCCTCTGTCCCAGAATGGTCCATGACATCGTATTTGCTCTGTGTTGGTTTCCAGAGTTCTGTAGGGCCCTCAGATGCTCACACACTTCTTTATACGTCACTAGAACTCACATCCATTAATATCACTACCCACTTCATCCTAAAACAAAGTCTAAATTTCAGGAAACCGTCAAGTTCGCAGTGGCAAATGCCACGTGCTCTAAAATCGTAGTTTTTATTTGAAAACTCAGTTGTCACTATCAGCAACAAATACTGCCTGTTGTTTTCCCTGAAGGACAGGCTCATCAACCTTCATTATAGGAAATGCCAGCTCATCAACGAGTGCAGCTGCGTGGGCCTCTTCAGGGGTTGTAACATCTGTTGAGACTTTCAGAGACGCTGAGTATGCAAATGTGCTTGCATGCTTCCCATTAGACCTCATAGAATATTAAAAAGGTACACACTCCAATAAATGGGGCTTTGCTCCTTTCACCCTTGGGTGCTGGGAATCCAACCCAGGGCCTGGAGCATGCCAGGTTAACGGCCCACTGAGTCATATCCCCATTGAAATTATGAGATAACACCTTGATGCCTAATATCTTTGACTTATCGAGATGTATGACAATTACTTATCATGAGTAATTTTCTGTACTTTTTCATGCACTGACAATATTCCCCTCCACCTTCCTACCCTCCACTTTTTTCTTTAGGTTTTTTTGTCTTGTGAAAATCCAGCTAGCCTTTTACCCAATTGTTCAGATAATTCTTGGTTATCTACATAAGTAATGATGTTGTTTTTAATAATTTTACTATATTCTGTCAGGTAAACCGTTGATTTTCTTGATCTACAATTTTATTTATTTATTTTTTTACAAGTACCTTAATAGGCTTCTTCATGGTTTTGTTTTCTCAAGATATTCCAAGTAAAATTATAGCTAGAATGTACACTCTGTTACATACTACTAGTTTGCTCCTATGAAATTTGCCTTTTTATAAAACTGGATGAAAAGGCTAATTTCACTGTCCCCTTACCAGCATTGAGCAGTATATTTCAGTGTTGTTGGCAAGTTAAAGACAGTCATGTGAAAGGTGTTAAGAATTCATTTTAATTGTCCTAAAAATCGGATATAACTTATCTGTTTTGTATTTTTTTTCTTTCATGTAAATACTCTTCTATCTTCTAGCATTTTCCATGTGCTGATTCTTAATTTAATTATTGTGGGAGCTGGAGTGACCATGGCCTGTTTCTACCCAAACATAGGAGGGATCATAAGGTAGGCTTGTACACACGTGCTCTGCTGCCCTTGTTGCTAATCATGCTTTGATTTAATGACTTTTCTGTAAGTGTTCAGTACTGGTAGTGTTCAGGTATACTTCCTGGTATTTGTGAGGGTGCTCAGTAAATTCCATTTTTGCTGATCTGTGATAGAGAAGCTCCCACTGTCCCTCCACTACCTTTCTCTTCTTTTCATATTTCTTGGTTTCCAGTGTGTTTGTTTTATCTGAAATAAAAAGTTATGTTCAACATGCATTACTTCTTAGGTATGCCCAGGAAGTCCTTTATATGCCAATACCTTGTCCATTTAACTCTTAATACATCTCTGCTCAAAAAGAGAACAGGTTCCAAAAGCAAGAGATTAACTCTGAGATGGCGTTCTTGATGTTCTTACCCTAAAAAAGATGGCAGGAAAAAAGTTGATACAGACTGTCACTAGAGATGTGTTCAGAGTAACCTGAGGCCTTCCTCCTCATGAAAAGCAGACAGAGAGAAATGCCTTCAACATGGTCTGAAAATATCTTCCTCCATACAGACATGAGCTTGAGTCACTCTTGTGAAGAACCTTTCCTAAGAAAACAGCAAGCCATAAAAGAAGAAAGTGTGCCATGATGTGTGTGGAAGAGAGTGCCATGTATGTCTATGGAATAGAGCGTCTGTGGAGAGAGTCTGTGGAGAGAGTCTGTGGAGACTGAGTCTGTGGACGGGTTGAGAGTCTGTGGAGTCTGTGGAGAGAGTCTGTGGAGTCTGTGGAGAGAGTCTGTGGAGAGAGTCTGTGGAGTCTGTGGAGAGAGTCTGAGAGTCTGTGGAGAGAGTCTGTGGAGTCTGTGGAGAGTGTGGGGGGAGGGGGCGGGGGGGGGGGGGGGGAGTCTGTGGACAGAGTCTGTGGACAGAGTCTGTGGACAGAGTCTGTGGACAGAGTCTGTGAGTCTGTGGAGAGAGTCTGTGGAGAGAGTCTGTGGAGAGAGTCTGAGAGTCTGTGGAGAGAGTCTGTGGACAGAGTCTGTGGAGAGAGTCTGTGAGTCTGTGGAGAGAGTCTGTGGACAGAGTCTGTGGACAGAGTCTGTGGAGAGAGTCTGAGAGTCTGTGAGTCTGTGGAGAGAGTCTGTGGACAGAGTCTGTGGACAGAGTCTGTGGAGTCTGTAGACTTATAATGGACTTAAAAGTCCCTTTTTAATTATTCTTCAAGAAAACGGGGGATTGCCTGTTTCTCTGTCACAAACTCATTTAAGAATTTTGATTATCTTTGATAATGACACTGAATGCCTCAGACAAAGCCATTGTTTCATTTTCAGACACAGATGGTACAAATCCTTCACAAACCCTGAACGGCATTATAAAGATCAAAAGATCAAAAGGTAGCTCATTTGGTAGAGTACTTGCCATCACCTCATAAAGCAACGTAGTGTTGCAGGTTTGAAATCCCTATACTCAAGGAGTAGAGGATCAGAAAGAAGTTCAAGGTCATTCTGAGCTATATAATAAGTTCAAGGCCATCTTGGTCTACATAAGACCCTGTATTAAAAAAAGGTCAAAGGATCTGGAGAGATGGCTCAAAGGTTAAGAGCACTGGCTGCACTTCCAGAGGTGCTGAGTTCGATTCCCAGCAACCACATGGTGGCTCACACCATCTGTAATGAGATCGGGTGCCCTCTTCTGATGTATAGGCATGTATGCCAGCAGAATACACATGATAAATAAATAAATCTTAAAAAAAAAAAAAAAAAAAAAAAAAAAAAAAAACCTGTCTCCAGGTGTGTCTGAGATTTAAGGAACAAATAAGAACTGTTTGCCATTCAGACATTTCAAAGACACGCAGGAAATAGTATTTTTATTAATTTGAAATCTAACAAGTTTTTGTTTGCTTGCTTGCTTGCTATTTTTGAGAAAGGATTTCTCTGTTTAACAGCCCTAGTTAACAGACCAGGCTGGCCTTGAACTCACAAAAATCAGCCTGCCTCTGCCTCCCAAGTGCTGGGATTAAAGGTGTGCGCTGCCACCGCCCGGCTGAAATCTAGTAAGTTTTAAAGTTAATGTAAGTAACAAATGACAAATTTTGTTGCAAAATGCGCCTGAATACAGTGTAAATTGTACTGTATTTACCTTAATTATAAGGCATCAGAAGTGCAGCACCCTGCCAACCCAGTGTGTTCATTCTGCAGGTACTCAGGAGCAGCTTGTGGCCTGGCCTTTGTGTTCATATACCCTTCCCTCATCTACGTAATTTCCCTCCACGAAGAAAAGCGGCTGACGTGGCCTAAATTAGCCTTTCACGTTTTCATCATCATTTTAGGCCTGGCAAACCTGATTGCACAGTTTTTCATGTGAAAACTGCTCTCTCAAGATTCCTCATGGTATTCTGAGAAACTGGCAACGGTTCTGCATAAAAGAACTTGAAAATGCTGTCATTGCTGTAATTCTAAGTGTTTTTCTAAGATAGTTGGAAGCAAGGGAGTTATGGTCTGCTGATAACTATTTTTGTACTGGAGCAGGGAGGGAACTTGGACGGATTCGTGCCGATGTTTCTGTTGATGAGTATAAGGTGGGTGGGTGTGCTTTGCCTACAGCCAGGAATCCCCTCAGGGGTCTTGGGTCAAGGCGGCATGTTGCCAGGCCCTGTTTCTGTCTCCATGTACTCAAGTCCATCTTCTTACTTGCTGGGCCTTTTCTACAGTTTACCCAAACCTCGACTGCTTCAAACAGTAAAAACAAATACCTCACTTTAAAAGAAGTTTCCATGGCATCATTATTAATTGAGTGAATTACTAACCAAATACTTAATCTGAAGAACAAAAAAAATTTAGATAGTATCGGTCCATCAGAAAATGCATGTAAATTACCACCAGTGTCGTAGTTGGCAGGAGTCAGTGAGCACTTAGATGGCGGGGCTTAGAGGATCCAGAGTTTAGGTCATCCTCAGTGTCATGGCCTTGAAGCCAGCCTGACCATATAAAGCCTTGCCTCAAGACACCAGAAGAAAAGAGAGGAAGACAAAAGAAAATGGGTATCAGGCAAACATGTACAGAGTGTGTTGATGTCTGACTTTTAGTTCTAATCCAGTTCCAGTGACCTAAATTGAAGGTACAGTTCCCAAACAGGATCTTACACATGAAAAAAGCAATTGTCCTCATAGGCCCCTGGACTCTTCCTTGTGTCCTGGAGAATTGCATGGACTGTCATGAACCCAGAGCGGCTGCATGTGAGGCTCTTCAGATGAAAAGGTGAATTGCTAAGAAGGGTGGAATTCTACCCAGTGTATCCTGTGTCACTCTGGTTCAGGTGTGACCTCCAGGAGCGGACACTGTACAGGAGAGAAAGTTATCCTCCATAAGAAAAGCTTGAGTCTGACAAGATCAAGAAACCCAGGTTCTTAGTGTTAACATCTAGTTCCCTTCTGAACTAAAGCGGAACCAGCATCCAGATGTCTGTCATCCGTGTAACGAGGTCTGTGTCCCAACCACAACTGCTAACAGTTAGAGCTCTCTAATTTGAGGCTAAATTGTTTAAAATGCGTCATGTTTCCTCTTCCCAGGGCAGTATGCAGATTTGTGTCATGACCTTCCTTGGAAAAAAACAGGTGAAAGGGTTTTTATAAATCTAGAAGGAGCTCCAGATTTCAGACCAGCTTTAATTTCTTTCCACATGGCTTAACATCCTGTTGGAGCTCCATGCCTATGCTTATAAGAAGCTGTAATTCCTGACACTTTTTAAAGTCTCGTCTTGAGAGCTGTCAAGCACGTACACAAACAGAAGGATCTGGAAAACCGCAGACGCCCTTCCCTGGCTCCAGCCATCATGGACCTGGCTGGATTTGCTTCACCTGTTTCCTCCTGCTTGTCCTTTCTACTGACATGTTTAAAATCCGATCTCAGACATTGTCATTCCATTTCTACAAACCTTGATATCCAGCTAACAGCCCGAGCTTTGAATCTAGTCACAGTTATCATGGAGCTAGTCTCAGAAGCTCTGGCCAGCAGAACGTGCTGGAGAACTCATGCTGCATGGGCAGTCCTTTATGCTCGAGAAACTCTGGAACTTAACGACTACAGAGTCCAGTTCTGTCTGAGAACAAGCTGGGTGCTTGAAGAGATGTTCCCAGCTTACTCTCTGTATATGCGTGGTAGTTTCTTTTGTCTGTGAGGACTTTAGGAACCCATTTTCATCGTTCTTTTCCCAAAGGCATCCCTGAATACTCTGGCACATCAACGACGTGCTGTGCTTTGACAGTCAAGGGTGATTGGATGTGGTTTTGTCCATTTCATACGGAAAAGGGATTTGTCGGGGGATGCTACTCTGAACAACAACAAAAAAAAAAACAAAAACAAAACAAAAAAAAAAGGATCTGGACTTATGCTGTTGTTTCCTTAAAGAGGTTGATCATTTAGACCTCCTAATGCCCTGTTAGACAAGCCAAATGGCTCTGGGTCCTTAGTCTCTTCATGAGACTCCTCTGGCCCGTCACTCAGCTCAGTGTCCTGGCTCATGGTGAACATGACACATGACGTGACATGAACTCACACGAAGTTAATCTGACTTTCTCTACTCTCATCTCTGAACTTTCTAATTAAACTGCTTCCCTTTTTACTCAGATGTGGTTAGCCGTTAGACTTAGCTTCTTTAACACACAGCTGAGGAACCTAAAATTTAAAAGTTTTTTAGAGAGGTCCTCCTTAGGAATCCTGTGGATGTGTTTGGGCTCTGCTAATAGTACACCAGAAAGGGGAAAAAATGAAGCTAAGTTTTATACCTATGGATGACTGTGCAAAGTCATTACTATCAGCACACTAAAAAAAAAAAGCGATCGGAATAAGGAATAAATGTACCCATTGGAAGAGACTGTCTTAAGGGAACTACTCAGCACCTTAAATGTGTTTTAGTAGCTGTGCAGCTACTGATGGCAGCTATGGGCTTGTTTTCTGCTTCTACTTGAAACCTGCCAAGAAAATGTGTGTTTTTAATTATCATTTCCAGAATTACTCTGTTTAAACAATTGAATAGTCAGCAATGTGCATACTTTGGAAGAGCTAACGGCGTGCAAGGCAGCCTAGCCTGTACGTCCTAGAGGGACTTTTCATCCCGTGAAGAACAGTGCACTTGCTCCTCAGCACATGGCAGGTCCTGCTGGGACTGTTGGAGTCACGCGGTGCTCTGGGGAGGGATGGCAGAAGAAGAGGGACCGTCCAGAGGCAAGAGTCCATTTTCACTGTCTTCCTCCTCCCCAAAACTATGTTCGCTGTGCTCACCAGCAATACAATAAGTTACACGCATTCACTTTCATTGGGCAGATTTCCTCTAAATCATATTTTGTGACATTTAATTGCTTCTTTATGTGATTATTTCCTCTTCTTTATTATCACTAAAGCATTTAACTCCCATGGCTCTTGGACAAAACGCATATTTGATTAATATGGGATGTAACTAGTCATACACTGGGTGCTATAAACTTCAAATTTTTAATTTCTTTATGAGTATTCAAAATGTCAAATGTTTACATTGATTAATGTAATAGTGTTTTGCTTTGTTTCTGTTACCGTGATAAAATACTAATACCAAAAGCAAGAGTCTGTTTTGGCGTACAGTTCCAAAGAGGGAGTCCATAACGGCCAGGAAGGCAAGAGCAGTAACAGAGCAGGGCGGGCCCATCACATGTCCTCCGCACGTAGGAAACCAGAGTGTGAGCACTGAGTCTGGAGAGTATAAACTCCCAGCCTCTCCCCGTGACGCACCGCCTCCAGCAGCGATTCCGACGCAGAAGCCCACGGGCAGCGTTCTCATCGAAACCCGGCAGTTGGTGACAGCAGAGAATATTGTGCTGGGTGTTTACCTTACCCACTTGCTTTTTGGAAGTTGGTGGTGATCTGGGTTTTGTGTTGAACCTGACTATATATTAACTTGAATGTCCAAAAACAAATCCAAGTCTAGTTGTTGCCTAACTATTGTGTGTCACTACTCTGTGACCCAAAGTGAAATGAATCCCCGATGTCACACACACTGACCCGGCGGGCCCCACTTTCGCACTTAGGATTGTATAAACGCTTACTGTAAAATAGCTCTGATGGGAATCTCAGAATCCAAACAGTATTCTTCCATTCTTCTTTACAGAAAGAAAGAAAAAAATTAAATCAGAATTATTTTGAAGAAATGTATCTCTGGGACTTTGTTTAGTAGAATTTGGATAGGAAATACTATCATCTCCTAGCTCTGGCCACAGGCAGAAGCAGCTAGGTTCCACAATTCTGAAGTGACCGTCCTGTATCTCATGTCAGGCTACGAGGAGCCTTCCTTAAAGTTCTGATCGTCTAGGAAGGCATATGTCACGTTAACTGAAACCTAAGGTGACCATCCCCAGAACCTTTTGGTTTTTGTTTGTTTGTTTCGAGACAGGGTTTCTCTGTGTAGCTTTGGAGCCTGTCTTGGAACTTGCTCTGTAGATCAGGCTGGCCTCGAACTCACAGAGATCCGCCTGCCTTTGCCTCCCAAGTGCTGGGGTTAAAGGCCATGCACCACCAACACATGGCTAATTTCTAGAACCTTTTAAGCCAATAAATAACCCTAATTTTCTGGCTTCTTTAAGAAAAATTACTTTTTTCCCCCTACCAAATATTTTTTTTTCTTGATTTCTCAACTTTTCTGGAAAGCCAAAATAAGACTGCTTTTAAAAATTGAAAATAGCACCCCATTTATCTCAGACTATGCCTCATGTCCCAGAGTAGCAATGAAGAGGTTCTACTCAGACACTCCCCTCTGACTCTCAATCCCAAACAGTCCAGAATGTTTAGTCACAGCAGGTCTCAGGATGCACTTGTTTATTAACGAGTCAAGATCCCACTTAAATGGAAAATAATATTAGATGCTATTATCTAGGATTATCTCACATCTCCCCCAAAATAATGGGGTGCCGGTGCTAGAGGTGTAGCTTAGTGTACACCACTTGCCTAGCGAGCACGAAATCCTTGGTTTGATCCCAGCGTTGCAAAAAGAAAATAAAAAAAAATGGGTCAGCCAGGATCCAGATTAATCATTCAATACTTGAGCACTTAGTACATACCTGACCTTGTGTTAAGCGCTGAGCATGCTGTGGTGAACAGGCTAGGTGTGGCCCCACGGTGGAGTAGCCTTTGTCCACCCTTTCTGACCCAGCAACTGAGTCACCTTCCTTAGGTGCCACTGAAGTGCCCAGCATCCGCGCTCTGGGTACCGTCTCAAATCCTGTGGCACGTGATCTGAGGAGCTGAGTGTAGGAGCCCGGTGTGATAAGTGGGGCTTCTCAAGTGAGCTGTGTCTTTCCGTGTAAAACTCTTCCACAACCCAGGTGTACAAAACACAAGCCATCGTGTCCTTCTGTGACCTATCGAGAAGTGCAAATTCATAAAATCAGGCAATGTATAGCAGACATGGGAGAC